TATTGAACTGGCTAGGACCTCCAGTACAATGTTTAAAGTGGTGACAACAGGTAACTTTGCCTTAATTATGACTGTGAGGAGAAAGAATACACTCTTCCACTATTAAGTATGATTTTACATAGTTGCCCTTCATCAGTTTGAGGATGTTACATACTTCCTTTAAGTAATTCTCCTCTATGTTGAATTTTGTAAAATAATTTCAATTATTGGTTTATCTTTCACCCTTTTAATATGGCTAATTACACTGATTTTTTTTTAGTGTTAAATTACCCTTACACTCCAGAAATAATCAAGTGTAGTCCTGATATTACCTTTTTGCTTTTATTTTCTTTTTTACATTGTTGGATTTGTTTTGCTAAAATTTGTTAAGGATCTTTTCTATCTCTGCTCATGAAGGATATTGATCCATAACTTTTTCTTTTCCCCTGGGTGGATTCCTTTATGAGGCTTTGTTACTAGTGTTATGCTGACCTGGTAAAATAAGTTCAGCAGTATTTCCCATCCTTTCTAATTTCTGAAGAGTTTGTTAGGATTAGCGCTATTTATACTTGCAGGTATAATAGAATGCACTGGTGAAACCACCTGGGTCTGGTGGTTTCTTTTTGGGAAAGATTTTAATAACAAATTCAATTTTGTTTATTAGATATAGGGCTATCTGATCTTCTGTTTTTCTTATGTCACCTTCAGCAAGTCGCATTTTTTAAGAAATGTATCCATTTCATATAATTTATCAAATTTCTTGTGTATAGGGGTCCCTTATGAGCCTTTAATGTTTACAGTATCTATACTGATAACACCTTTATCAATGATGATCTCAGTGATTTGTGTTTTCACTCTTTTGTCCTTGATTAGTTTGAGTCTAGCTTTGCAAATTTTGTTGATCTTTTCCAAGAAGCAGTGTTTGCTTTAATTTTTTGTTTTTCTCTTTTATTAATTTCTCCTCTTTTATTTCTTTACTCCTTTCTACTTGTTTTGGATTTTCTTATTTGTCTTATGATACCTTTAATTCATGTATTATTTAGGAGTATGTTTAATTTCAGATTCAGGAAAGAGGGATTCCTAAATATCTTATTATTACTGATTTCTAATTTTAGTTCTGTTATGGTTAGAGAATACTCTGTGTGGTTTAAGCTTTGAAAATATATTGTTTTATGGCACAGCATATTGTCTATTTTGGTTAATGTATCACATACATTTGAGAAGAATGTATATTCTGCAGTTTTAAAATATAGTACCATATATGTGTCATTATGTTGAGGTGAATGATAGTATTATTCAGATCTTCTGTGTTTTTGCTGATTTTTTTTGTATAATTGTTCTGTTAGTTGCTAAAAGATATGCACTAAATCTCGTACTATAATTGTGAAATTGTTTCTTTCTCCCTTTAATTCTGTTAATTTTTTTCATGTATTTTTAGGTTCTATTCTTAGATGCCTACACTTAAGTGCCTAAAATTTATGATTTTATTTCTTCCTGATAAATTTTCACCAATATTAAATGTTCCACTTTATTCATGGTAATACTCTTTCTTATAAAGTCTATTTGATCAATCTATTAATATCCATCCCAGCTTTCTTATGGTTACTGTTTGTATGATACATTTCTTTTCATCCATTTATTTTCAAATTATTTGTGTCTTTGTATTTAAAGTGGGGCTCTTATGGGCAGCATATAGTTGAGTCTTGCTTTTTTATCTACTTTGCCAATTTTGCCTTTTAAATGGAATTAAAGTAACATTTAACCATTGATGTGGTTGGATTTGGGTCTATTTTTATTTATCCACTATTCCCCCTTTGTTGACTCATTTTGATTATTTGAATATGCCTTAGTATTCCATTTTATCTATTGGCTTTTGGGCTATAAACCTTACTATCATTTTATTAGTTGTTGTCTATGGATCATAATACACCTACCTAACCTTTCACGTTTTGTGAATGTACCACTTGGTAGGTGTGAGGTCTGTGTGTTAGTGGGAGGCTACCCTTCCTGCCTGGGTTTTCGTTTCCCCATCAAGGGTCTCCTCCTTTCTGGAGCAGGGGACCACCCCTGCTGGCAGCAGACACCCAGGCCTGCCACCTGTTCCCCAGTCTGTCCCTTTACTCCTAGGCTCTGAGTAAGTGGGTATAGAACAGCAGCAGAATGAAGAGAATGGGTCTGATGCCCCACCCCTGGCTTTCATTCCTGCAGGCCCCTCTGAGCCCAGGCTGCCATTATAAGAGAAAGCCCTCATCGCAGAGGGGATGGGTAGGGACAGACAGAGGGGAGGCTTGGAGGGTGCTGCATTTGCCCATGGGAAAGATAGTGTTAAAGCATTAGTACTGAAAATGGTGGAGAGATTCCAGAGTCATTTTATAGGTGGATGTGGGCTTCTGCACAGTCCTTTCATGATCAAAATGATAATAATAATCATACTAATAAGCACTATTTATTGACCACTGTCTGATTTACCAGTCATAGTGTTAAGTGGTAAGTATTTGACAAACATGGTTTCATCTAGGTCCCACAGGTCCATGACATGCATATTATTGTCATCTCCATTTCACAAATGAAGAAAGTTAGCAAGGAAAAGAACAAGGATTCCTTAAGTTGGCCAGGCCACTTCCCAACAGTGGACAGTGGGCCTGCAGATGGCCTGGGAATTCATCCCCAAACGTAAGGCCTTGGTAAGATTCTGATGGAGAAGTCAAGCCAAGTTCTTTAGACTCATTTTTACATACTACTAGCAGGGCCACACTTGTGTTATTGAGAGTCACTACAATTTGGTTTTCATAAACTGATATAAGCTCATGGCTGGGGTTTATCACACAATCAGTGTTTTACTGAGAGGTGGGTAGCTTAGCAGTACTGCTTTAGTTCCCCTGTCACCAAGCATGCATAGGGCTGCAGACCCATCATTTACACAGCTCCCCATTATCGGGTGTCCTTGCCTTTGTCTTGAGTTGGCAATCAATTTCTATTACTGTCTTCTTGCTCTTGAGTGATACCTCACTGTTATTTCAGCTTTATCGTTATTTATATAATTTGTGAGCTCTCAACCTTATAGTGAGTGGTGAAGTATATTGACATATTCACCTGTTATTTTCCAAGAGCTAAGTTGAAAAAATGTATATATCATATTAGACTAAACCAAATGAAATTGCCTATATGCAGCTATTTCTGCCTTAGGTGAAACCATATGAAACTCTTTTCAATCATTTCTAACCTACAAAAATGGCAATTTCATATGAATCAACTTAATCAAATGCAAATGATTCTTCCCTCATTTGCTAGGCAATTGTATAACTAATTCCCTCCAAATATGCCTGTACAGTGACACTTCATTGGTGATAGTATGCCTATAAATTCGTGTTATCTAAATAATTTATAACATTCTATGATTATATATTAGCTGTAAGAAAATTGCTGTTATTTTTTGTTTGAATTTTTTTCTGTGATCCAAGTTCTTGATTGTAACCTCATATTCTTTGAGTTTTTCATTTGTGTCCCTCTCTAATTCTTTATCATCACCTTATTCCTCTTACACTATGAGGTGGAAGTGGATAGAACATATGGCTGTTGGGGTCTTTTGTGTCACCTAAACAGCCCTGGTCAAAGAAGTTTGAAAAGCACTATTCCAAGGGCTAAGGAGGTTCATCAAGTCCTACAACTGCTAATGTGCGGATTCAGGATTTAGTGTCAAGTCTGTTTGCCTTGAGATGGAGGACATGATGGATATTTTGGTAAATGGTATCAGTTACAACCCTATAGCTACCGATAAGAAAGCCCAGAATTCCATGGTGTTTCCTCAGGGAAATTAGGGTGCCAAAATTTACTGAGTGTCTACCATATGGCACTCTGCTTGGTAAGTTAGGTCTAACTTCATTTAATACCACAACAAACACTCTGAGTGTAGTATAACTAATGTGTTCAGGTGGAGAAGCAGGTTCACAGGCTTGAGTAGGAACTCAGTATTGTAGAACTGGTAGGTAGGTGGTGAGAGCAGAAAGCAAATTTCAAAACCCATTTAATTGTTTGCTGTACAACCTTTTCTTTATCCTTCCCCTCATCCTCAGTCCTCACCTCCATATTCAATTCATCATCAAATCCTATTGGTTCCACCTATAAAATGACTCTGGAATCTCTCCACCATTTTCAATACTAATGCTTTGACACTCTCTTTCCTGTGGGCAAATGCAGCACCTTCCTAGCCTCCCCTCTGTCTCAGTCCCTACCCATCCCCTCCATGTGACTTCCAACTTGTTCCACAATCCTATACACAGAGCTATCACGACCCACCTCTTCTATGGGCCTGCCATGCTTGCAGGGTGGGAGAGCACGTCACAGTCCAGCTTTCCAACCTACTTTCTGGGCCATCTGTGCCAACACCCCCTTTTCCCAGCCCCAACCCACTCCCTTTCCAGTCCAACCCCTTGGCCTCCAGGTACTTGCCTCTCAGGGCACCTGGAGGGACTTTTTTTTATCCTCCCACCAGATCATCATGCAGCAAAATCTCCTTCCTCCGAAGCCCAGTCACTGCCTGTGGGAGAGTCATCCCAGACTCTCCTTGGCGGCTCACCACTCCTCTTTGTATCCACAGGACTTTGTACATGTTTTTAATGACAGTTTCTATTAAGGATAGCTAGCTGTTGAAATGTCTAATCTATCTTTCCCACTTGATAATTAGCCCCTAAGGGGTAAGGGTCATGTATTTATTTTTGGATTGCCAGCATTCAGAAGAGTGCCTGGCACAAGGTCAGTACTCAATAAATGTTCATTAATGTAAAATACCCCCATATGGCCCCCCGTGCACATTAGTTACCGAGAAGCTGTTCAGTATAGCCGATTGGAAACTGAAGTGTGAACAAGGATGCATGAGGTCTAGTCCGGGCTCGCCCCCAGCGGGCTGTGTCACCAGGGACAGCACTGATCTGGGGCCTCTGTCCCTCCCTTATGGAGGGGAGGACATCTGAGAGGTCACATCCAGTGAGTTCATCCTTACAAATGTCTCTTTTTCTCAACAGGAGGAAAAGACCTTCAGCCCCCTCTAAGGAGAATCATGGCATACAACCAGGATCCTCCGGCTGAGACCCCCATCATCAAGTTCAAGGGCCAAGACTTCAGCTTCTTGCGGGATTACTGCCTAGGCAGAGGCCTGCTATTTGAGGATGAGACATTCCCTGCTGAGACTTCCTCCATAGGTCTGGGGCTTCTCAAGGGCCACAACCTCTCCCGCCTGATGTGGAAGCGGCCACAGGTGAGTGAGCCCCGCAGGAGCACACCCAGCCCCTGGGCCTTCTGAGATGCCCACCGTGGTACCTCCCACTGGAGGAAGTATGGGCCTGAGGCCTGGCTCTCAGGGAGAGCCCAAACCAAGTGGTGGAGGATGAAATCCACCTGGTCCCTTGGTGACAGCGTTGTACCCTCGGTGAGGTGGAAAGACCCCTGGGTTCTAACCCAGTTCAAACACCGAGCACATCCCTAGCTTACGTGCCTTGGTATTCCCGTCTGAAACTCTGGAAGCCGTGGGTCTGAAGACGGTAGTAGTTGGTCTCCAGGGGCTCTTCCGTCTCCATAACTCAGCCCCCCATCATCTCTGTCACTCTTTATTCTCTTCGGTTATCACTGTCTTTATCTTCTTTTCTCTTTTCATGGTAGAATTTACTCAAAGAGAAAATGTCTTATCAGTCACTTATATAATAGGATGAACTTAAATAATCACCTTGCCTCTCTCATTTATATTTGTATTTTCAATCTTGTAAAGGATTGATCACCTAAAAAGGAATTTCAGACATCAGCTGTAAAATTCGGGAGATATTTCATGGCAAGTTTCAAAGGCCCCTGGATTCCTCCCTCCCAACAGATGGCCATTATTTCCACTTTGCAGCAAGGAGCCCTGGTGGTGGGTTTTCTAGAACTATCTGTTTTGGGGCATGAAGCTCCAAGAGAAGTTAGCTTATTCAATATCCTCATAGTCTCATCAGGGTTACTGTTGATGCAAAGGACCCAGGTAAGGATCCTGATACCCAACCTCCTGTTCATACTTCCAAAAGCATCCAGCAGCTCTAGAACAGGAGAAAATAATGTAACACCTAGTGAGCTCATTACTGTAATACAGAAAAGGGTAACTGAGCACAGATTAAGTGTCAAGCACTCTACTGAGTACTTTCAGTAAATCCAGGTTAGGTTATGCAGAAAAGGTATTTTCTGCTGACACAGAACTCTGGAGGTGCCAACTCTTGCCCTAACTTTGGACAGATTTGTAGTTTGGGGAAGGGAAGGGTTAGTGGGGATCAAATGGGGCTCAGGATGTTGCTTAAAGGTGGGTACTTCAGCCTTCCATGATCCATGTTACTAGCCAGAGGCACTAAGTCCCCCAACAGTAACTGTTCATCTGGTCTTCACCTCCTAAGGAGAGCTGAACAGAGAACTCTATTTAAAGTTTGGAGGGGTTATATTTTTTCCCTTTATTTTTAGAAGCTGAGATTCTTTTAGAAAGTGTTTGGTTTTGTTTTTTCACAAGGTGCTAAGTTACAGATGAGACCATATTTATAGTGTTGAAGAATTTATAACATCTCTATTTAGAAAGGGTTGAAAGTTTCTTATTATCTAATTCCAGCAACATCCCAGTTTATGTCTTTTGGGGGCAAGGAGAAACTGAGGCAAACAGAAGTGAAATGACTTAGGCAGAATCCTGCCTGGAATCTGAAATAGGGGCAGCCAGGGCCAAACATGTTTTACTCTTGTTCCTCCTCTCAGCCAAAAGCTTCCCCAAACTCTACTGGGGGGGGTCACATTTCATTCAGCACTTCCTTTAAAATGTTTATGTGGCCATGCCATTTCTTTGCATTCTTTATCACAACTGGCAGACCTTACATTTATGTAGTATTTTCCATAGTTTCCAGATGTCTTCTCTTGCTTTGTCTCCCTTGTTTTTCCCAATCTTACAAGAAAGAAAATAGGTTTAGGAGAAGTGGTGTAACCTGCACGACGTGACAGTAAGGGAAAGATCTGGAGTTCAAACGGAGATTCCTGACGCCACATGCTGCACTTTTCCTCATGGGGAATTGTGTGCCCAGTGGGACTCTGTTAGGATGTGGGTGGATGAGTGAGTGAATGAATGAATGAATAAATGACTATCACCAGGGCTTGGCGTGGGTTCCCAGCTCCATGAGTGCAGTAGAGGAGCCCTGGTTTGACCTGCTTTCCAAGTAGGATGGTGGAAGAGAAAGCCGGTGTACTTGTGTCAGCACAGTGACATCCTTACAGCTGTGACTGCAGACGCCTTGGGAGGGAAGCCACAGCCACATGGCCCAGCCCTAGCTGTGACAGCCGACGTGTATGTGGTGCTGACCATGCGGCAGGTGTGGCTTTAGGTGGTCTGACTCATGGAATCCTCACAGTAACGGTATGAGGAAATACTATCATTAGCCCCATTTTACAGATGAGAAACAGAACAGAGTTAAGTGACCTGCTTCAAGTGGTAGAGCTGGGTGCCTGGATCTAAGATCCGTGCTCCTAATACCACACTATATTGCCTCCCATAAGGCCTCTTCATAAGCTCCTGGTATATTCTGGGCTCCTGGTTGCCAGTAATACTTTGTGCACCAATAGAATCTTCTACCCCGTTTGGGTAACCAGGAATCACTCACTCTACCTTCTGCCCTTCTTTCTACTTTTTAGGTGAAAAATCCTGAGGGTAAAAATAAAATGTTATCCTTGGACTTTACATGATGACTTTAAGGACTAAATTAGGATGTAGCTAGAACAGTGTGCAATCCATTCTGAGCACCTACTAAACAGCTATTGTTGCTGTGATTAATTTGGAAGGGATGACAGAAGGTAGCAGCCTCAGGGGATAACCTTTTGGATCCCTCGGGCTTTCACAGTCTAGTCATCACAGCATCAGCCCTCAGCCAGTTTCAGCAAATGCTTTCATGGAGAAATGTAGGTCAGAGGAAACCATCTGGGGAGGTAGGGGGAGCCAGCAGGAAATGCGGACACTCCCTGGTACTCATCCAGCTTGGTAGGTACAAGGACAGGCCAAGAGTCAGGGCTGTGACACTAGGCTCAGCTTGCTATGAGAAAAGTTGTTTCATGTCCCATAATGTTCTCTCTCTCTCTCTCTCTCTCCCTCTCTCTCTCTTTCTCTCTCCCTCGTCTTCCCTCCCTCTAACAATTAGCCTAATCCATTTTGCTGCTGAAACTTTGAAGTAGAAACCCCTTTATATCTTGGTTTGCTCAGCTTTTCTCTATTAAAGAAACTTTCAGCCCACCCCACACACTCCCTCTACCGGCAGGCCGTGTACTGGCCAGTGACTGTGCGCTGAGCAGACAGCACCCAACTGGTGGGACCCAACTCCTCACCAGCCTAGATGCTTCCTATAACTCCCATCTCAGCAAAAAACAGTGCTAAGAATTATACCTATACGTGGAGTATCTAGTGATTTTTCTCTGAACTAATTTTGGTGTTAGAGTGACTTTTAGAATTCTTACATCATGAATATTAAGAAATCCTACTTATCAAGCATGTACATGTGTTAGGTATTGATCTAAACACTCTACATACAACATTTCATTTAATTATAACAGGCCTGAGAGGTAGATGACATTATTATTTTCAGTCAATAAAGCAGGGCTGTGCTAGAGAACTTCCTGTGATGATGGAAATGTTCTCACTGCACTATTCAATACAGTAGCCACTAGTCACATGTGGCCCTTGGGTGCTTAGAACTCTGGCTAGTGCAACTGAGGGATTGAAGTTTTAATTTAATTCATTTAAAGTGGCCACATATGACTTGTGACTACCACACTGGACAGCACAGAATTGCTGATACCGATTTTCACAGCAGAGTCACCACTGTGTATCAGACTGAGACACTGAAATTTCATCTTTGTACCCATTCTTTAGCCGAAAACATTTTACTTCTCAACTGAAGAATGAGTGTGGGCCCCAAACCTGCTGTCTGATGGGTGTTCAGAGTTCAGCACCCAGTTCCTTGGGGAAACTGGTCTGTGGTCACCCCAGAGTGAAACATTACCTACCTGGGCAACAACTTACAGGGCAGAGTTCCTGAAAAGATCAGTCACTGGGAATGATTCATCTGGGACCAAAATAAGTTCTTCAGAAAAGGAAGGTGCCCATATAACCAAGTGGGGATATGGGTGTAGGTTGTGAAGGCAACAGGTTGTAAAGGGGACAGAAAGTGAACATGCCAACAGCCCATTGCCATTGAGCCAAGGGACTTTGGTGCCAATACAGCAAAGCTGTCTAGTAAAAATAGAAAGGGGAGTGGCACTGCACCTGGCCCGGCCTGAACTCCGGCCTCCCTCTCCGCACATTTAGCCTCTGTCTGAATGCCAAGTGCTAAACCTGGTGCTCCCTCTCCAAGAGCAGCGTGCTGTCTGGGGAAGTACGAGAGCAGCCTTTGAAAAGAATGCAGGAATCGCTGTCCAAAACACTCAGACTGATGTCACATTGGAGGAGACACCTCCAGAGACAACTTCAGGAGAGTACCTGGTTTGGTACTATCCCAAGAGGGTATTTTCTAAGATGCCAGGGGCTGTCATACTACTTCTGGCATAACCAGAGCTTGCCCCAAATTCTGCCTTGAGAAAGGGCTCCACCGTCCAGAACGAAGTCATTGAGATCACTTAGACTGACTATGGCTGATGGCTTTTGTCTTAGCATTCTCCAGAGAAACAGAACCAATAAGAGATAGATAGATACAGATAGATTAGATGATATAGATATAGATATAGATATAGATATAGATATAGATATAGATATAGATATAGATATAGATAGATATAGATATGGATGTAGATATAATTGAACATCACTGATAGGAAATATATAGATGTGTCCTATTGATGTATTTATTATGAGGAATTGGCTCACTTGATTATGGAGGCTGAGAAGCCCCATGATCTGCCCTCTGTAAGCCAGAGACCCAGGAAAGCCATTGTTGTAGTTTAGTCTGAGCAGGAAGGCCTGAGAACAGGGTGGGGGTGGGTGGGGGGAGGGGCAGGGCACACGATGGTATAATTTGTGGTCCAAGAGCAGAAGACCAGTGTTGGGCCCAGCTCAGTGGTCAGGCAAAGAAGGGGGCAATTCTCCCTTCCTCTACCTTTTGGTCTGTTCAAGCCTTCAGTGGATTGGATGGTGGTCATCCACACTGGGGAGGGCAACTTGCTTTACTGAGTCCACTGCTTGAAGGGCTAATCTTATCTGGAAAACACCCTTACAGACACTTAGAAATAATGTTTAGCCAAATATCTGGGCACCCCATGATCCAGTCAAGCTGACACAGTTAACCATCAAGGCTTCCTTCTGTGCAAATGATGTTTGGGAGCCCTCAGAGGGCTGGTCCATGTCACAGAATCAGAAAACACTGACTCCAAGAGGCCCCTACCTGCTGGTCTGGCCGGTGGGGAGGGGCTGAGCACTACGGAGCCAGATTTCTGGTTCACAGCCTGCTTCCTGTGTGATCTGCAATAAATTGCTCAGCCTCTCTGAACCTGCTCCCTTGTCCTGATGGGGCCTCAGAACTGTCTGAGTTCTGTGTAATTCCTGAACTCTACCCATGGCTCACTTTCTAAATCTAAACTGTGGGGGGGTGGCATCCAGCAGTCTCTATGTCTGCAAAGCTCCAGACGATTCTGAGTCACATTCTGGGTGGAGATGCTGCCTGCTACCAGGCTTACCATGCTCACTTCACTGCCCTGGTGTGCCCAGCCCAGCTGGTGACAGGGGACCTGCCCAGAGCCTGAGCATTTCCATTTTCCCAGCCATCTTTACCTGTTTTCTCTATGCACCTTGTTCCAGGAAGTCAGCCCAGCAGACTAAAACTCTTCTGGGTATGATTTCCATCTCTTCCTGCCTTTGCTCTTTCTGGATCTTCCAGCCCCCGTCTAAAGCCCTGGGTGGGGAAGACAGGCTGCTCAAGAGGACATGAGACAGAGATGCTGGTTTTGTGCCCAACTTTGCTATAAACGATTCCAGTGTTTACCCATGAACTTGATTTGACTCTTGATTTTTTATTTGAAATATTTGCTATTTAATTTTCACAACATTAAAATATCTTTCTGTTCCTCACCAGCTAAAATTCTGGGTTTTGTTAATTTCAGTTTTTATGATTTTGGTAAGTCAGAGGAAGTTGGGCATTTATCAGATGCCTTCATGGCATTTATTAGGGTAGAAATTGTTTTATCTTTGGCTCATGTAAATGCTATTTTATATTATTAGATATCCTGATATGAAACCATTCTGGCATCCAGCATGTCTGTGGCAAACCCTCTTGATGCTAGTGGGTTAGTGTTATAACTTATTGTTGATTCATCTCCCGGGTTATTTATCTCAGTATATTTTCATAAAACAAATGCAGACAGTACTGTCTATAAGTTTCCGTGTTTTTTTCTCTCTCAAACGTTTGTCAACCAGGCTATGCTGTCTTCTTAAAATAAATGGTGGCAGGATTCTTCTTTCTTTTTTTTAAACACTGCAACTCTAAGTGACACAGAAATTGTCTAAAGTCTCTCTAAAGCTTGAGAGAACTCAGCAGGAAAATCACGTATACTTAGAAGCCTTTACAAAGATATTAGGGAGGTATTCATTGATCATTTAAAAATACTATTCCAAGGTTATTGATCTTTTCAGATTATTTACTAACTAATCATTTATGGCCACATTAATTTTTGTCAGAAAATCATTAGTATTTTTAAATCAACAAGTATAGAATTTTATATCATGTTTTTACAGCACTAGAACCTCATTTTTATTTCTAATTTTATTTGGGTTTCTCAACTATGATTGCTAAAGGTAAGGTCTATGTAACCCTTTTCCACCTAAACAGAACAATTTATTTGCCTTATTGATCTTCCTGTTTTTCTATTTTATAATTCCCTAATTTTTATCTTTATCACTTCCTTCCACCTATATCTATGAGGCACTTTGTGTCTTTTCTAATATCTGTGAGTTGAGTGTTTGATTCATGCTTTCATTCTATTTTGTTTAATCATGAATGCATTTGAGGCTCTGGGTTTGGCTATGAGTATGGAAATATTTTGAAAATATTATAGAAGAAGGGAATCAATATTTATTGAACACTGAAACTTGTCTGATGCTGTGCTAAGTATTTCACATCCTTCCTCTTTTGTAAAATGGGAAGAATGCTGCTTTGCAAGGGTGTTGGGAGATGATCTGCAAGCAAAGCACCAGCCCTCCGCAGGGGTTTTATCTTGGCAGCTAGTGCTCTGATTGCTTTATCATTTGAATCTCCCATTTTAAATATCAGAATGCTGAGGCTCAGCAAAGTAAAGGAAGTTGCTCAAGGTCACCGAGGGAGAGGGTGCAGGGCAGGATTCCACCTGAACTGACTCTAGAGCACACCCAGCCCTCCTCTGCCCATCCCTGGAGGGAAGCCGGGAGCAAACACTGAGCAGAGCGGCAGCTGTGGGGAGGTCAGAAAAGCTGAGCAAAGTTGTCTCTGTTCCTGGTCCAAAACCCCCCCACAATGCCTGCACCCTCTTGTTTAATTCTCGTGAGTGGAACATCAGGGGCATCTGCTTGCTGACAGCAGGTCTCCGTTGAGCCCTTTACTTCCTTTCCCAGTAGAGAGGAGGGGGACAGTTAGAGCCACTAAGGTGCCCCAAGCTGTTCGGAAGCTGTGAGGATCGCTCCCTCCATGGCCCTGCGTAAAGTTCTACCCTGCTTGCTCGTGCTGGGGGAGACCCCCAAGTTCTGCCCAGCCATGGCCGGGCAGAGAGTCAGGCTTGGTGCCTCTACCTCTGGAGGGCCTGGGCCTATGTATGCGTCTCTTGGCTGTTTGAGAAGGCCAGTCATTTGTAGAGAAAGCAATGGGAAGTGGTTGAGTGAAGTGGTTAGCCCTTACATAGGAGCTGGGCTGCTGTGTTGGCAGACATACACACCTTTGTTTGCCCCTAGGCACCTCCACAAGGAAACTGGCAGTTTACAAAGGGCTGGCAGGTCTCACAAGGCACAGGACCCCACATATTCATGGCTATTGAGCAAATAAATTCATTTCCACTTTACTGCCCTGCTCTCTGGGGATTTAATTGTCAATATGAAAAGAAGTGATATAGGAACAATTACCCAATTATGCAAATTTATTCACTGGGAATCCAGGAAGACTGGCACAGAGAGGATGCTGAGCCTCACCCTGTGCACTCGGAGCAGGGGGAAACTCAGAGGCTTCGAGGCTGGAGCAGGAGCCAGACCACTGGTCCTGTGTTTCCCCAGAGTGCTTGGGGACCCCCTTCAGGAGCTTTCACAGTCCTCATGTCTGCTGAGAATTCTCCAAATTCTCCCTAAACATAATGAGGTAGGGCAGGGAAATGGGACAAGGGTCATGCCGTTGTAAAATCTATTTACCCTGCGAAAAGGCCTGGGCTTATTCTTTAATTTAATCTATAGTCTGTTCTTCCTCTTCTTCCCTCCCCTTAATCAATTAAGTAACTCTGTAACCAGAATAGGAGATAGACCTCCAAAGTGTAAATGAACCTATGTGGATAAAGAATGCCAAGATCCAGACAAACACAATCACCTAATGACCCTATTCTTCAGACAAAACTTCAAAGGAATTATGAATTACCAGTATACAGCATGCCTTATGCTGACCCCTACCCAAAAGGCCCTATAAAGCCCCAAACCCCAAACCCTTAAGTGCACCTCCCCTCTGAGCTGCCCACACTCCCCTTTCTTTGAGTGTGTACTTTTTAAATCAAGCATTCTCACTGCTCTATTTACTGCATTTTGTTTTTGAGCTCTTCCAGTGTGACTTTGTCACTTTACTATTTCATTTGATTTTCCAGATTTAAGCACAAGTCTTCACTCTGTCTCTGTTCTACTCCAGATAAAGGGAGGGGCTACTGAGAGCTCTGATTCAGACTTGCAAGATCCTGACACCTGAGTGACCCACACAAGACTGGCTGTACAATCACACTCTTTAGTAGCCTGCCTAAAAATCTCCTTTCTTTGGCTTTGCAAAGTCCTCAGAACATAGTCTCACTCAATCCAGTACTCTGCAGCTCCCCCAAACCTTGGGGTGGTTGAGACTTAGTTCCCACACCATGCAGATCCAAGCAGACACTAGACACTAAGTGACCCTAGCTTCAGGAGTTGGAAAAAGATGTGCCCTATGCCAAGCAGGAGTTCAATAGACTTCCCTTTCTTCCCTCTGCTTTTCCTTGCTCTCTGCTGCCTGCAAGGCAGCTGCCATTCCCTGCTGCTCTAGCTTTAATGAATTCCTTCCTTACCTACACTCATCCAACTTGCTTGAGAATTCTTTCTCATTCAGAGTTAAAACCCCACCCCTGTCCAAGTTGAGGTTTTTCCTAGTACTTCACCTAGTGCACAGGGAGAGACCTCCCCAGACAAAGCTGCCTGGCAACAGCTGCAGCATGCAGAATCTCCTAGTGAACCCCTTTCTGGGATGGGCAGGTGCTATGTGTGTTAGGGGTTGGGAAAGGACCGGTGCTGAGTAACAGCACCTGAGATGAGGTACTGGGGTCTTCTAGAGTCAATCTGTGAGTTAGCAAAGATCTGAGTCATGGGCATCCTGTACAGCACATAGTTGGACTTGACCCTGGAGCCCAGGATACCTACTCTGAGAAATGTCATTTCACAAGGAAAGCTTTATTATGTTTATAAAAGTTTCCTCTAATAAAGGTATCATATTCTATTTTTGGTTGTTTATAACCTCTTAAGAAAACACTTTCTTTTGGGACCTGGATAGTAGATTGTCTGATGTAAGGATCCTAAGTCCTTATTTATGTTATCTCTTCATACCGTTTGCTTATGCATTTATTGCCTGTCTTTTCAGTTATATATATCCCTTTGACATCAGCCCTCCTGGTCGCAATAAAACCTAAAGGATGAGGGGAACTTTCCTCACTCAGATTTTAAGCACCTATTTAAGAATTAACCTCTGTCCCTCAAAGACGAAATGAGTGATGTCTTGGACACCACACTGGGACGCAGAGGAATGGATGATGTTCATGGCTTTTCTCCCTTTTTCCTAAGGATATATTAGAGGGTAGATCTGAGCCTCATTTCATCCTGGAAGGTGTGAGCAGATTTGACATCCGACAAGGAAAAGCAGGTAAGAACTCAACCTCTTCCCTTCCAGCCCTGGGAAGCGAAGGCTTTCCTTCCAGGCAGCCTGCCTGAAGTCAGCCTCCAGACAGAGGGTGGAGGATGGTGCCCACCCAGACCCACCGAATTTCTGACAAGGCAAGGAGGCACCCTCAGTGTGGCTGTGGACAGACTGTCTGCTCTCCCTCCCACAGCCTGCAAGCCAGCTCAGCAATGGGTGTGTAGAGACATTTAGGGTGAGGAAGTATCAAAACAAGGGAGAAAAAGGGCACAGTTTATTCTGAGCACTGAGTAGAAGCATCAGCTGCTGGAAGATGGGAAGGAAAGAGCTGGCTCCAGTGAGTCCTTCCGCCACTTGTCTCTCAGACAGAAAAAAACAGTTCGTTATCCAGAAGAAGTACAGACTCTGGTAACAAAGACCTGTGAGATGCATGGGGTGGGACTTCCAGGGGTGTCCAATAGACCTCTCTTGGCTTATGTCCCCTCACAGCAGATTGCTGGTTCCTGGCGGCACTGGGCTCCTTGACACAGAGCCCACAGCATCTGCAGAAGATCCTGATAGACCAAAGCTTTTCACATCAGTATGCAGGGATTTTCCGTTTCCGGGTATGTGCCCTGCTGGGACACTCCTTACATGGGGTTCTCTGTGAGACAGGGAGAATATTCTTACATATTATCAGGGTCTGGTAGCCTGAGATCGGAGAGTCACTTATGAGTTAGTTACTCTGCCTACCTCCAGAAAAGGCTTTGAGCTCTTGATCTGACAACACATAAGGGAGATGAAGGTTAAAATATTTTCTTGTAAATAAAAAGGAATGAAAGAAACAATCAGCCAAAAAAAACAAAAAAAAAAGTCTGTGATCAAGAACCTGGCACATCATTGAGCTTTTGTCTCTGTCTATCCCTGTGTTAAATCCTGCTATTTTGATTACAGTAGCTCTAGAGTAAGGAGCAATATCTGGTAGAATAAGTTCTCCATTATTCATCATTCTTTCCTCAAAAATATCTCCATAATTCTCGCACACTCTTTGAAGAGAATTTTTAAATCATTGTGTCTAATTAAAAAGAAAAGGCACTGTGACACAGAGTGAAGCAGCATTAAATTTATGTATCAATTTGGAAAAATTACATTTTTATTATTTTAATTATTCCTTTCCAGAAACGTGATAAATCTTTCCATTTATTCAGGACTAGTTTTATGGCCTTCAATAAAATGTTATAGTTATGTTTTCATATTGGTACCATAGCCATCCTGATCAATGTATTCTCAACTGTTTTATAAGTTTGTAGCTAAGGTGAATGAGATTTTCCCCAAACTAGATCTTGCTGGAAAGAGAGAAAGTTCTCTTTGTTATATATTGAATCTAACCATCTCACAAAATGCCTTTATTAGTTTTAGTCTTTTTCTCTAGTAGAGTCTGGATTTTTTAGTTGCCTAATATACTCTGCAAATAAAGATAATTTTATATCTTTTAATATTTATAGAACTTATTTTGCTCTTTTGCCTTGTTGCATTAGTTAAAACGTTACTATTTTGAATAAGAATGTCAGGAGCAAAGCCCTGTCTTCTCTTGATTTTAGTAACTACTCTGCCATTCTTTTAATACTGCTGGTTCAATTTGCTAAAACTTTTATTAGAATTTTTGCATCTATATCACAGGTAGAATTGTTTTAGTTATTTATGTTATTTTTATCATGTTTGAGTTATGCTAGCTTTTAAAAATGAACCTATTGAGCTTTATATACTTTGATGTGAAATAATTCAGGTAATGATTGTTAATCATATATTATCTGTTCTTTGAAAGTAAAATAGACAATATTTAAATCATCTGGACCTGCTTCCTTTTTAAATGTGATTTCCCTAATTTTCAAATGTGTTCAATAGCTGTTGATCTGCTTGGGTCTGTTATTCCTTCTGGAGTTAATTCTTGAATGTATATTTCACCAAGAAAACCAACTCTTTTTTACATAGTTCCATATTTATTGACCAAAAGTTGCTTATGTGAGTCTCTGAAAATTCATTTAATTTCTTCTAATCTCTGATTAAATCTACTTTGTCAATCCCCGTGTTGTATTTTTATTTTTCCTTTTTTCCTTAAATCAATCTGTTGTGTTAGTTTTTTAACAAATCAACTTTTGATTGCCTTTTGGGGTTTTGTTTCTTATATAATTAACTTCAATTTATGTTTATTAATTCCTGTGTTATAGTATTGTACTTCCCGTGTACACTTGATATTCTTTATTTAATAATAAAAGCTTTTAAGACTATAAATTTTCCTCTCAGATTACATTTATAAGTTTTAATATAAAAACATCTTCTTTGATTAATTTTAAGATAATATATTTTTAGTTTTAAGTTTGGCAGGGAATCTCTTTTGGTGGTAAGGTTTTTGATTTATTGTACTATGATTTGAAAATGCAATTCATAAAATCTCTACATTTGGGGAAAATATTTAAAGGTTTATTTATGAGCAAGTCCACAACAATTTTTGTAAAAATGCTTCATGGATATATGAGAAGTATATCTTTTATCCAATGGTCACAAGTTTTATATATAGAATCAAGCTTTCTGATTTTCAGATGATCTTTTCTGCAATTGTCTCTTTTATCTTGGCTTACTTTTTGTCAGCTTTATTTGTCAAATTCTAAAATAATTGTATTGAAATCCTTCTCCAAAGTTATAGTTGCCAGGTTCCTGTAAGATTTCAAATGTTCTGGCTTTGTACTTTTCCTTCTATATTCTTTGGTGCCCAGAGGTTTTATGTTCTTGCTCTCTGGTTGTTGGGATAAAGCTTACATAATATTCCTCTTTGTTATATTTAACACTTTGAGCCTTGGACTCCTCTTTATCTGGTATTAAACAGCCACTCCAGCTTCCTGATATTTACAGTTCCCTGTTATAGCTCTTCTCATCCCTTCATTATCAGTTTCATTTTCACTATGTCTCTTATTCAAAGCATATTTAAAACTTATTGCTCATCATTGTTTCTTTCATCTGTCATGTTCCCTTAAGATTTTTGTTTTTTTAAATTTCTTCCACTTTAGGGTAGGAGTAGTTCCTCAAATAAATTCCTCAAATTACATGAGTGTTTTCCATTTGCTCTTACTTAAGAATGATGTTTCACTTGTACCACATTCCCTTTCCTCGAGAGCCTGTAAATGTTATTCCTTTGTCTTGAAGCTTCTGATGTTGCAGAAGAAAAATCCAGTGCTACTCTGTGTTCTTGACTTTGTATGCAACATGTTCTTTCAAACTGCCAGCTGGCAAGAAGCTCCCTCTCTCCTTAATGTTCAGAAATTTCTCTGGAAGGTGTTCAGTTGGGTGCCTTCTTAAAATTAATCTTGCCTGAAATTCAATGAGCCTCTTCCTTCTGAAGACCTACTTCCTTGTTCTATTCAGCTAAGTTTCTCTTCATTATTTCTGGGTGTCTCCTTTATCCTGTTCTCTCCTCCTGAAGTCCAACTATTCGCATGGTAGGTCTTCTAACTCTTCTAACAAGTGCCCAGGTAATGCTGCTTCTGGTCCAAGGATCACACTGAACAGTGAGGCAGAGGATGCAGGGCTCCTGTGTCTGAGCTCACCTCAGGGTGGCATGTGTTGGTGGAGTGACAGGTGGTTAGGACAACTTGAGGCCCAGGCAGGACATGCTCAGCCCTTCTGGGTGGCAAAGAAATTTCCACTGTTCTCCAGAAATAGCTGGAGTGCTCACCTCCATACGCCTCTTCTCATCACTCTGAGTGTGGGTACTGCTCTCCAGAAAGGGCCTGATGCCTGGGCATCTTGGATGCTTTGCCCCAAACACTTTCCCTCAGGCACTTGGGTGTAGGCAAATGGCACCAGCATGCTTCCTGGAGGGCACAGACGTCATCCAGATGCCAGCCCACCCCACCCTGAGAGGAAATGCAGACTGGCGGTCTCCTTGACCACGAGTCAGGCCATTTGCATCCTTTCTAGGAATGAGGGCCCTGTCTAGTGTTCCCTTTGTATAGGGAGAGCAAATTTGGTTAGCATTACTGGTGTGAGAAGATTGGGGCAAGGGTGACTTCTGAGAGGGAACCAGCCAGAGGAGTTTATTCAAGCCAGGACTCCCTCATTCTTAACTGCCTGCTGTGCATCAGGCACTATCCTAGATGCTGAACAGAAAGGCTATTAAGAAGTTCCTACTTTCCAAACTAGGATCTCACTTTCAGTCTCATCTGACCCTGGTCATAGACCTATGGGGTAGTTTTTACTCTTACCACCATTTAACAGATGAGGAAACTGAGTCACAGAGAATTAAGTGTCTCACCCAGTGTGTGCTGCTTAGGGAACTAAAAGCAAAACCAGGGCTCAGGCATAGTTCCATGGACTGGCACTGTTTACTGCACTTTGCTATCCCATTGAAACTGCACTGCAGATGGGGCTGTCCTCCCAGTACCCCACATCTAGCTTTTCCTGGTGCTCCCAATGCGTTTCATGACCTCCCTCCTAAGAACACCTCACCCGCCTATGCATCATACTGCAGCCGGGACTCAGGTCCTCAGCTGTGCCACACCCAGCTGCATTGTACTGCCTCATTAATGACAGAAAACATCTTTGCTTTGTCTCCACTGACATCTCTGTCTCAGTCTCCCTGTCTACTTTGAAAGTACGTCTGCAGCTGGATGCAACAGCCCAACACCTGGAATATCAACTGTAGGAAAGGCCATGTGGATGGTTTTTCATCACTGCTGAGCATATGATAGATCACATCCACCCAGGACTCCCTTGTTCTTAATGGCCTACTGTGCACCAGGCACTGTCCTAGGTGCTGAAGAAAAAGGCGAGCCCACCTGTCACAGACTTGCCTTTGTGGAGGCCCAGGCCTGAAGCTGGAGGCCCTGCTGCTTATCCAGCATGGGGGAGAACAGCAAAGAACCTCCAAAAGGCTGGCTTAGATACGAGTTTTCCTCATTTGGCGATGTCCCCAGGTGAACCATTAAGAGTCGAATGTTGAAGACTGAAACAGTCTGTTTTGGAGAGAAACATCTGGTTTATTTGTGCTCTTAGCAGAAACAGTGCCAACCAGTTCCATTTCTGTTGCTCTGATGGCAGCCGCTTGATGTGACGAGAGGAGGGCCAGAGTGAAGCTGTAACCGCTTGGTCTTCAAGAGCGATCCTCGTCCTTCAGCCTCCAGGCCTTTGCTTACACTCACCCTGCCATCTGGGATGCCTTTCCTGTCTCCTAATCACCTGCTTAAACCCTGTGTCCTCCCTCCAGCCCCTGGCCTACGGCAGGCACTCCCTCCCCATTACAGCACTCTGTGGCCACTGTCCTCCTTTGTTGTTTGGCGTCTGGTCCCCCTACTGCCATTTTGCATATAAGATATGCCAGAATCTCATGTGTGTCTGAAGGTCACAAAAGACTTGCCGAAGTGAGGCCAGAGTTAGTGGCAAAGTCAAACGAGAACCCAGGTCTCCTCCCTCCCAGTATTTTCCTTGACTAACTCTATGTGTGACTCATCGGTCCGTGGAGATGACACGCTGGTCCCCTGTCCGCCAGCCTGAGCTGGGATTTTGTTCTGCATAGTGTTCACTGTTGCCCTGTGGAGGTCATGTGGTGACCGTGGTTATCTTTTGGTGTGGGTGGGGGGTCCAAGAGTTCCCTCCTGCCCCAACTCCACTGAGGCATATCTTCATCTCTCTTCCAGTTCTGGCGGTGTGGCCAGTGGGTGGAAGTGGTAGTTGATGATCGCCTCCCTGTCCTGAACAAGGAGTACCTGTTTGTGTATCCTCGCAGCAACCAAGAGTTCTGGCCCTGCTTGCTGGAGAAAGCCTACGCCAAGTGAGGATGGGCCCAGCCCTCAGCCCAGGGCCTCAGTGCCGGCCCTGCCTGCCCAGTTGTTTGCTCTGACAGCTGCTCCCCATTAGCTGGCCCCAGGACTTTCCGCAGCTCTGCCAGATGCAGGCAGTGCCCCTGGGAGCACCAAAGCCTTGGCCACCCAGCTGGGTGTCCTCCATAAATGGCCACTGTGTAGAAGCTGTTGGGGGCATTGGGAGGAACCCAACGGCACATAGCGAGGGGTGGTTGGGGCAGGGCTGGACAGAGATGCACTAACAATGATATTATTGCAAGGGCTGGACTAAGGGCCCAAATAAAATATAATATCATGGTTAAAGTCTGATGAGAGGAGAGAGGAAACAATCTTGACTTTCTGATTCACAGGAAGTCAGCCTGAAATTGCATAGAGTCAGTGGCATGAAGTGAAGCCTTGAAGGATGGGTAGAATTTCAGCAAGGAGAGAGAAGATATGTTGGGAGGCATCCCCAAAATTGGGAATGATTCTTGCTAAGACCTAGGGGGCAGGGCAGTTCAAAGTGAGGTCAGGGCAGCTGGGGGCCTGGTGTGGCTGCTGGGATTGTATTTATATGTGGCGCAGGGCAGGAGCTGTTCGTAATTATATGACCCAAACACCTTGAATCGGGGACTACCTTCTGATGTTAGCAAACCCAAATTCTTATAAACACCCCAATTCACATATTTCATTTGGACTCTTTGGGTTGCTTTTCTTCAGCAGATGTTTATTGGGCATTTGATCATAGGCCAGCAACTGTGCTTGGCATGAGGGAGAGAGTCTCAGACTGGCTTAAGTAGGTATGTGCAAGTACATTTATGTGTAAGATAGGGACCCACACAGATGAGGGACATACCACGGCTAGAGGGCAATTCTAGGAGACTAAAGGACCCCACCTTTCTGGAGAAATGAGTAGTAGAGTGTATCAACAAGTCAGGTTCCCCCAAGATTGTCTTAACCAACCCCTCATTTTACAGCTTGGATAACCAAGACTCCAAATAGTGATGTAATGGCAGGTGTAAGTAGCTAGCCTGAATTTGCTGAGGTCTTTAGCTATTGACTTGGGTGTAATAAACCTGCAGACTCCCCCAGTCCCTGCCTTCCTGGAGGCCACAATCTGAACAGCCATCCATCTCAATAAGTCTTTTTTTTTTCTTTTTTTGCGTTCTTTCTTTTGAGCCAAGTTGTGAAAAACTAAAGCCATTGCTCGTTTCCAGTGTCAGAAATAGCTGTTCATTAGCACTGAGAATGAAGCCCAGATAACAGCCAAGGTTGTCAAACCAATCCATATGTTTGGGGAGGTTAATTCACTTCCAAGCTACTTACACAAACACTGCCACTATCTTTCCAGTATAGATTCAGCCCTCACAACTCCAGGGCCTCGTTTATTCCTTATATAAAAGGAGGAGGATGGCCATTCACTTGAAGAATTAGAAAGTTTGCAGAATAAAATGATGACTTTGACCCCATTTTACTAAGAGCCAACCTAAAGCAATCATTCAGCTTGAAAAGAAAATGGGAAACTAGACCTAGAAGCCACATACCACCACTGAAAGAAATCTAGTGGAGTATAAAATGTTTCAAACTAGTAAGCTATTTAAGAACTTTTCCCTCCAACTAAACAAGAAAGTTACAGAACTCAGGAGTGAATCAACTAGCATTGTAGCATATCAGAGCTGGAAGGACCTCTGTCAATGTAGACTCTGACCTCCCCCTTTGAAAGATGAGGAAAAATTGAGGCTCAGAAAAAATGACTTACCCAAGGTCACATGGTGTTGGAGGCTAAGCCAGTGCGAGAACCATTCTCCGTAGTCACGTGCTGCTCTGTCACACCTTGAGGCCATCAGCCCTTCAAGGGAAGGACTTATCTTTTTGCTTCCTTGGAACTCAGTGCCTGGCACACAGAGCCCACCTGGAGAAGCCATCTGTCCAGATGGAGATGACCCTCTTTTCCTCCAAGGGTGTAGACAAGGCCAGGTGAACATGTGGATCCCAAACATTGAACTATCCTTGTAGCTGGAGAGATTGGAAATGAATTGGTCAAGTCAGCCAGATTTGGAAGAAAAAAATCCACACAGATTTTTTTTGCCCCAGAGATCATAAAATAGGAGATTGGTTGACAAGATCTGGTTGGCTGCACATCATCCTTTATGGAATCTCTGCAGTTAAGAATTGCAGCATTTCAGCAACCTTTTTGGCTCTGATTTAGACATCTGATTTCTTCCCTCTCTCATATCATTGCTGGGCAGATAGACATTTCCCCCAAATGAGGCTGAAGCAGAGGGACGCAAACAAGGCTCTTTCAGAATTCCTGGGTTCTGGTGACATGGCATAGTGACAGGTGTGATAAACACCGTGCTCTTTATCTTTCCATTCCTTTCTATTTCCTGTCAGCAAAGGGGGCTAAGAATAGTTGCTACGTTCCTGAAGCATCAGCAGCATTTGTGAGCTCATGTTTGTGAAGCAGAGAGATAGCTCCTTGTCAAAACACCCAGCCGCTGTTGGGCCAGGCTTTGTGGGCATTGCGGAGAGGCCCCTGAGAGAGGGGACTGCTGGTGAGGGCCATTCCCTGTGCACTGGGTGTCTCTGTAGTGACCACACTTGTCTGGCATGGGCGCAGGACACCAGACAAGGCCCTTAGGCAGTGGGCCTGAAGTGTCAGGATAGGGCTCACCAGCTGCTTTTCTGGAGTGGCTCTGGTGCAGCCCAATCTGACGCCAGGGAGGACCTCTGAGTGGACCACCAAGAAGGGGCGGCTGCAGTGCAGGAGGTCACACTGATGAACTGGGCGGTGGGTTCCAGAACTCTGGTCTTTGAGCATTTCTACTGCCCTCAGCAAAACCCTCTTTATCTAGGACCCAGAGCCAGAATACATGTGGGAAATCAAGAGAATCAGGCATTGAGACCCAACTGGGCATGAACGGTATCAAAGGCAGGCTTTGCAGTTAACTAAGCAAACACCCCAGTGGTAAGAGTGTAGTACCAGGTGTAACCCTGGGTCAAAAAGGGGGAGAGATAGGAAGATAAGATTCAGAACCAGTTTTATAAACAAGTCGAGATCAGTCTATCTCATGACATGTGGATCCCATGGCATGTGGATTCTGTAGAATAGCCCTTTTTGTTCTATGTATGCTTAGCTTCCTTTAATAAAAGATTTTCTAAGCCATCCATGGGGTTTGTGACTGGAACAGTGTCCTGCTTAGAGTGAGTATCTGGTAACATATTTTCTGAAGTGAATTTCTGTGGATTCTGGGTGATCCCTAGGAGGAGAGAATGGCAGAGGTGGCGGTACAGTGAGAAAGGGGTGCCTGAGGAGCCCCAACAGCCGATCCAGTCAGCCCCACTGGTAACCAGGTGAAAGGCGGAAGACAGGATGGAGATGGGTTTGTCCAAGGTCACCAGCCCGATTAGATCAGCAGGCATGGATATGGGCCCCTGCCCCAGCATGGTGGGGTATCCCTGGAAAGAAAGCCACAGTGCACTGCCACCAGCCTGTGAGGGACAGGTGTTCAGGTGCCTAGGGAGAAGCCTGAGTGGCAGGGACAGTGGTGAGGAAGACGTCCACCGGGCAGCTTTGACACCCTGAGGCAGGGTTTCCTGCCCAGCCTGGCCTCAGCTCCATGTCCTTTGTGGGTTTGCCTGCCTAGAGTGAGTATCCCCTGGAACCTTCCCATTTTACCTCACTCACAAGAACTTGAGTTCTCACCACAAATCTGACCTTATCTGGCCCCTGCTTCATGGTTCTCCTGGACACTGATCAATCTACCTTCTTTCCGGGGAGTGCCAGGCAGCCCATCACAGACCCCACTCCTCCATGCTCTTCTGGCTCCAGGAGGCTCCCCGATTTAATTCTTCCTCCCTGGAATGCCCATCCCACTGTCCTTACCTGCATAAAATTCAACTCAGAAATGTGCTCCCCCTGCCTCCCACCCTGGAAGTCTTCCCTGGGCCCCCAGGCACTTCCTGTCTGTGCCAAGGTGATCCATGCATCTCAGCAAACACACACCCGAGGAAGGCAAAGAAAAGTGAGGGGTCATTGGAAGGAGAGTGGGTCCTAGTGTTGTGAAGGGAGAGGCAAGCGTGGAGCGGGATTTGCTGTGCCTGCTAATGACAGCAGCATGCCCTCCCTCTGCCAGCCAGACACTTCTGTTTGTGCTGTACTGGATTAGCTGGGAGCCTCAAGAAAGCTCAGCCTCCCGCCCGAGGTGGAGAGCTCGTGAGAGGGGAAGCCACAGTGGGACCTGTGCGCTTTGGCTCTTGAATCTGGAGTCCATCTGCCTCCCTAGCAAGTGACAGGGTCTCCTGAGGTTTGGGGCAGAATTGGGAGGAAGGCAAGATAAGGGCAGTAAGGCCAGGCATTGCTCAGGCTGTGGGTCCAGGAGCAGAAACCCCATGTTGAGGGCGGAAAGGGGTGCTTTGGGGAACAGGTAGGGTTTTAGGTGGTTTGCTTTGAGGGATTAGTTATATAAGACTTGTTACCCTCAGTAAAGTCAACTTATTTCCCTGATGATTCTGGGAGAGTGGGTTAGTTCTAAGAATGGGAATGGGGATTCTGGAGGAAGCTTTGCACAAAATGAAGACAGAGGCTGCTTGTAGCCACAGCAGGCATCAGAATCGTTGACTGAGCCCTTTTCAAGTAGGACCCTGGTCTCACCCATCTTTGAATGCTCAGTGGCTAGCATGGTACCCTGTACACAGTAAGTACTTACCAGTATTGTTAACTGAACAGGAAACAGTAGATATTCATCATAATAATATCCAATATTATGGTCTTGCCATGTGCCAGGCACTATGTTAAGCCCAGTCCCATGAGGTTAAGTAATTTGTCAGAGGCCAAGCAGCTAACTATGTGGAGAGGTTGGGATTCAGCCACGGCCTGTGGCTGTAGCACCTGTGTTGCTAGCCTCTACACAATACTGCCAGTCGTGGGGCTGCCCGGGGGAGGAAAGTGGGGAGGGTGGCCCATTACTGGAGCCACCAGCTGGGCGAATGGAAGCTGGTAAGTCTGGGGGTGGGTCAGGTCGTCCTGTGCTGCAGTGACTCCTCAAAGGCTGCCCAGCAGTCGGTCTGATTCCCCCCGACCCAGGTTCCACGGGTCCTATCTCAACCTGCACTACGGCTACCTCCCTGACGCCCTGGTGGACCTCACGGGAGGGGTGGTCACCAGTGTCAACCTGCACTCCTCCTCTTCTGACCTGGTGATGGTGGTGAAGATGGCGGCCAAGGCAGGCTCCCTGATGACCTGCGCCACCCCGCCAGGGGTGAGTACGCAGGAAGGGTGTGCCTTGGTTCAAGCCTTCTCTCGCGCGGGAGTGTCCACCCCTGGCCCATTCATCTCATAAGGGGGCCACCCCTGGCCCAGCTGTCACGGAGCACTGCTGTGCTTTAGTGAGGTCACCCCATTTAACCCTCACAGCGGCCCTCCCTCCAAGATAGAGGCTGCAGAGTTCTCTTACAGAGGAAGAAATAGGCTCAGAGAGGCTAAATAAAATGCTTGTCATCACACAGCCAATATGTGGCTAAGCAGGGGTTCACATGCTGCTGCCACACTGCAAAGCCTTGGCCTGGTGCTTGCCATGAGCAGGAGCAGTGGGGTCCAGGGTGACTGGGGGACCCATTGCCTCTCAGTGACTCAAAAGGCAGCATCCCAAGGTCAGTATGTCCCGTTTTGAAAAGCCTGGACAACCTTCCAGAGGATTTGGGTCTGTTCTGAGACAGCAGGGAGCTGCCTGCCCTCTTTAAACATGTGCACACTGAGTCACACACCCCTAATCTGAAATGCCACCCAAAAACTAAGATGCACTGAAGACCCCAGTTACAGCACAGGGTGCTGTGTATTCCCAGCTTCCACCCAATGCCCAGCACACACATGCTGTGCTGTGTCTCACTGATGAGGAGCGATTGGCGAGGCAGGCAGGCCACATCCTCAGGATTTGCTGGGGTTCCATCTGTAACTGGGTGGCCTCTTGAGGCATGAAATCGAAGCAGCCTTCAAACCCTGCCTCTCTAGAAAAGAGTGCCAAGAACATGCCCTTCCAGGGTGAGCCAGTGGGATGTTTCCTTCCAGCCAGGGCACAGCTGGATGTCTTTTTCTTTAAAGAATACTGACAGCTCGGTGTGCTTCTCTCCCTTGAAGCCGACAGAAGAGGCCACGGTCCTGGAGAATGGCCTGGTGAATAAGCACGCCTACACGGTGACCGATGCAGAGCAGGTAAGGCTCCCATGGACTGTGTCTTCTCTCTCTCTCTCTGTATCAATCTGTCACTCCTGTCCATTGACCTAAGGCCAGTTGCCCCATTGTTTCGGATTTTGGTGAATGTTCCAGCCCACAAAAAGAAGTAATATCTCCTGTCTCCTGCCTATCTCCCTCAGGAAATCAGTAACAAAATGTTTCTTCTGCACAGCACGTGGGAGACAGTAGGCGTAGGCACCTAGTAAATGCTGGTTGGATCAATGGATGAGGGCACTTGCATGAGTGAATGAATGCCTCTGTCCTTGGCCGTGAAGGTGGCATCACTGATGCTCCATCATAGGACACTTCTGAAGAGCTCAAAATATATTTCTGCCAAGCAAGGAAGAGAATGCCTGGACATGCCCAGGCCAGAAGAGATCCCAGTCACAGAGCCTTCTGATTCTCTTCCCCTGAATTCTCCCAAGTCCTCTGAGTTCTCAACGGGGATGGCCAGTACCATCATCACACCAGCCACGTACAAATGGCCTTACCAAGGACTGCTCCCCTTAGTACCTACATCCCAGAGGTGGACAGGTCTAAGTCAGGGAGAGCGAACTGCTTTTTTTGTGTGCCAGCCTTGATCAGTCGGTAATGCTGCCTGGATTACTGTGTTGACAAGACTTTAGCACTGCCTCCAGCTTTGGGGAAAGAGAGCTGTGATTAGTGGATGATGTCTGGGCTGGGCATGGAATGGAGGAGCCGTGGTATCTATGTGATGTATCTGCCATTCCTGGGCACGGCACTTTCATACATTGAGACAGCTTTTGTTTCTCCCCTGAACACAGGGAGAAGGGACTTGTGTATCCCATGGAACTCTGGGCATGGGGATGGTAGTGACTGCCGAGCTACAGAGCAACCATGTGAACACCTAGGGCCAAAGCCATGGATGTGAACTTGGGAGTAGGACTTTGGGCACGTGCAGATTCTGCTCACAGCCCAAACATTTGCTCCCTGGCAGCACACACTTTGAGTTGGCCTTTTAGTACACTGAGCTGTCTGAACAGGAGACCTCCTCTGCTACAGCCAGTGACCCATCCCTGCCGCTCTGTGGCTGCCAGCACTTCTCAACATGTGCTCTAAGATGTGCCAGCTTGGTGAGATGCTCTGTGAAAGCAGTTCTCCAAGTACATTTGGAAAATGCTGTTCACCATTTCTCCTTCTTGGAGATTCACAATGGACATTAGCATTTTAAAGGCTCTGAGAAGGCCTGTATTAATGATACAAGTACAGCTTGGTCTTAATTTACCATTAGCCATGAAACCATTTTTCCTAGGAATAGCTATTAGCCTGTGGAACTGCTATTAAAGAGAACATATTTGAGGAAAACCTATTCGAGGACAGAGAACCTAAATCACTGTTGCCCAGTGGTACCCTTTCTGAGAGAGCCAACCAGGCCAGGGGTACAGTCAGCTGCCAGGAGAGTGAAGCAAGTGAGCCAGCTCATTCTCAGATGTAGCTGTGACCTTGGTCTCAAATGTGACCCTGAGCCACCTGGCCAAGGCCCTGTGGTCACCAATAAGGACTGTCCAGAAAGAGTGATACAGCCAGACAAGGGCCCAAGATCTTGGCTTGGTTAAAGGCTCCTCCTTCAGAAAAAGGAGGTTATAACTCTGACCACAAGTGCTAAGATTAAACTGGCTCATAAATGCAGTTTGCTTTTTAATCTGCTCATCCTCCCTCAGGCGGGACACAGACAGGAAGATAAATGAAATAGGCATTTTTTATTATGCACCTAGCTCAGTCGTGATTCCCCTGGGCAAGGGGGTGAGTGTTTATCTGCATGCCTCATTTAGCCCTGCTTGCAGCCCCTCCTAGTCACTGACCACTCTTCTCCCCTGAGCCCTGACTGGCTGTTAGGCACTGAGGCTGGCTCACCAAGCTCCTCGGGCCACCAGGCGACCACTTCTCACATCCCTGCTCCATGGGCTCTGTCGGGTGCTGGTGTTTAATAATAAGACACTGTGTGCAAGGCCGAGAGTGCCTGGGGTGGGGCAGAGAGGGGCCGGAAACCCGGGTTTGTGCCAAGAGCCACCCCCCCATCCCATGTGACATGAGAAGCCAGAGTACCTTCCATGGCAGAGCCAGCTGGATAGAAGGCGACAGAGAAGAACCCAGTCCAAGCCACATTCTTTGCTTCTGGTCTGACTGTGCTGCTCCTCACGGTGCTGCCCTATCGGTGATCACATGGGCTTGGCCAGACGGCCCAGAGGTCATATCAAGGTCAGGGTTGCCGCACATCTGAGAATGGGTTGGGCCCTGGAGCAGCTGCATCCTATATCCATTCACAGTCCAAAATGAAGTCCTGGACTGTAGAGACTGACAGTGGCTGGGGTCAGAATTCTTCCCCTGCCACTTACTCTGTAGCCTTGGGAAAGTTGCCTAATTTCTCTGACACTCAGTTTCCTCATCTGCAAAACAGGGGTTGTATGAACATCTGTCCTGGAGGATTGAAAGACAGAATGCATGTCAAGCACTCAGCCAGCTCCTGGCTCTGCACCCCACCTCCAACACGGGTTCCTTTTCCATATATATGGTGACATTCCTCGGGGGCTTTCTCAGCCTCCTCTGACCTGGAATCACCCAGTTTGCCCCTCCCCTCCCCCCTCCAGGCCTCTGTCTCCTCAGACAACATTGGCACAGAGCAATAGCACAGCTACAACCCAGTCATCTGCTAATTCCTCCCACGGGGCTGAGGGCCCTTGGACCCCAGAATGTATGCTCACAGATTGTGGCTGTTTCTGTTCATTGTAACTTTTCAACAGCCCTGCCCTCTGGCCTCAGTGGTCTGAAGGAATAAATGTGCTCCATATCTGGGAGTGAGTGATGATAAGGTCCCCAGGGGAGGAAGGAATGGTCAGACCATGAGGTGCTTGTCACCTTTGGAGGCAGGGTGATGGGGCCTGGTGCAGCGCCAGGGTGCCGGCTGAGGAGGGCTAGCCTTGGCTAGCTCCCAGGCCATCCTGGTCTTGTGAAATCAGCCACCTCTACTGTCCTTGCTCAGCACTGCAGAGACCCCAGCACATCTCCCAACAGGCTGCTGGGAAGCAGCTATGTCCGTGGAATAGAGATGCGGGCTGCAACGGGGCTTGGAGGAGGCTGGGTCCCATACAGATCTCCCCTCTGCAGCCCGCAGCAACATCTCATGCTGTTTATCTGCTATTAAATCTCAGCTTGCCTGAGTTCTAGGATGCCACCACGGAATGATTAAGTTGCACCTACCCTTCGAGGTGCTGAGCAGAAAGAGGGGCCATTTTCTCCTCTATCTCATTCCAACTCCACACAGGCAGCCCAGAGACATTGATTTTTTTCTGTTCAATTTTTTTTTTCTGGCTGCAGCCAAATGAGGTCAGAAGTTAAATTAGTCCTTGGAGGTAAAAAGAGCTGCATTCACAGCCCCTCTTCTGCTGACTTTGGCTGGGGAACACTGACAGTTTCCTTTTCTGTTCGTCTTCACAGATTCAGTACAGGAGGCGCTGGGAAGATCTCATTCGCCTGTGGAACCCTTGGGGCAAAACTGAATGGAGAGGTCGCTGGAGAGACGGGTAAGGCTGCTGACAGCCTCTCTCTATCCTTCCCAGAGACCCCGTGTGCAGAGCATCTGCCCCAGAAAGGCGGCATCTCTCTCACCGGCCGTGCATCTCACTGCAGGCCTGTGCCTTTCACACCTAGGTGAGGCTGTCAGTCCGTCTCAACACTCCCACGATGCCATTTGCCAAGCATCTGTTAGATACCTGCTGTGTTCTAAGCACATCGTGTTAGGTTGGTGTTGGGGGATATATACAGATGATAAGACCCAGTGTCTGTCCTCCTGAAGATTACAGTCTAAAGCTGTGAACCCACATACCCAGCATTAATTTTAAAAAGGCAGCAGTAGGGGGGCTAAGGCAGAAGCCAAGTTCCACTTGGCAGAGAGAGATGGAGAAAGGAGCCCTGGACCATAAAGGGGTCTCATGGGATTCCGATCCTGACAATGCCATGTCATCAGGATGGAGAAGATTTCATTCTGTGGGAAGCTGGGGCACCTCAGCAGAGGTCTGGCTGATCATTTCACTGAGTCCACCTGGGCAGTCCATCCTGCCCCAGTGCTCTGGACTCCCACAGGACCTGGTGCCTAGATTAGCATCTTCTCCTGGTAGGAGTGAATGGGACTAAGTGGGGTTTGCTGTCCCTGTTGGTCATGTCCCAGGAAGCCGGTCTCCGGCCTGGCTGACCAGTGGGGACCCGGCTATGTGGTCAGTGGTTGGGGGTGCTGGGCTGCATTTCCCGGCTGCCAGGAAGACTGATCCCTGGTCCCCAGCCCCTTGGTGACTGAGGAGATGTCAGTCCCGAGAGGGGTGGGGGGCCAGCAGCCAGTTACTTGCTCCTCTGGCAGCCAGTGAGGCTCAGACGTGTCACATCATCTGAGGGCCTGTGCAGACCCATGAAAAGTGTTGAGACACGGTGGCCAGCCACAGAGGCGTCCCTGTCGGGGGAGGTGGGAAGGAGAGCATGAGCTGAGAGGAGATGCAAAGTGTTCAGTCAAGAGTGAAAATCAATACAGTGAGAAGCGAGTTCTGGAAGGCAAATACAGAGTTAACCAGTGACCCTGCCCAGCCTCCAGACTGCCCAGAACCTGGCTGCTGCCTGGGCTAGGCTGTGGCAGGGACCGTGGGCCGCAGCAGCTGCTGTGTGCCTGCATTCGTGGGCACTCCACAAATGTGAGATGAAGGTACACTGGGGCAGAGGGGTGGGACAGCGAGGGGGAGACAGAGGCAGGAAACAAGTGCCTCAAGTCCCTAGAATAAAGCTAGTGTGACCTCAAATGCCCCCTGGAGAACAGGGCAGCTGAATCCCCTCTGCAGAAGGGAACGAATTCCCAAAACCACGAACCACTGGACAGTGTTTTCACTCACTGTCCCCTTTCCCCTTTTATCTTGCCTCTATTCTCTCTTCTCCCCCGGGGTTATCCTCTGTCCTTTGCAATGGAAAGTTTAACTACTTCTGGCCTCTCCTAGTTCTCCTCCGTCATTACCTCAGGCTGTCCAATACGGCCCAGCGGTTAGTCCCAGAGTCCCTGGTTGGTTGGTGAGGGTGGGAGGGGAGGCAGGCCAATTGTCAGTGACACATTCCCTTGGGAAGGAGAGAAGACAGTAAATTCGCATGCGTCATTGTTTTGCCCATGCCTCCCACGCTGAGTATCAAATAACTGGTGAAGGTAACAGGAACAGTGGAAATCAGCGAAGCAATGCTTGCTATGGGCAGGCATATACAGGGAAAGAAAGCTTCATGGACGGAGCTAAACTTGAGTTCAACCAAAAAAATAAAGTATGCCTCACTTTGGAAGAGATCACTAGGTAAGACGGAAGGTGTAGCCACTGTGCGGAGTCAGGATCAGGAACATTTATAGGGTGTTCATGGCCCACAAACTGGCCTGAGGTGGAGGAAGCCAGGAAGTGCTCGCAGCTCAGGCCAAAGAGCCCAAGGCCAGCTTAGAATGTGGACTCGTACCCCACAGGTGTGGTACTTATAGAGGCCTTTGAACAGGGGGAGGTGTGTGCAGGGCAGGGACTAGGGAGCCAGACCTGGCAGCCCCGACCCTGAAGGATCATGTCCCTTGGCTGAGGGCTGGGCTCACCATTTCCTACCAGGAATCAGGCTGGAAGGAAGTGACGGGGCCACAAAATCACTGGCTCCATTGCAAATGGTCAATTTCCTCCTACTTTCAAGGAACGGAGATGGATAGAGAGAGCAGAATTGTCTAATCTCAGCCATAATTGAAATTTCAGTTGCACACACTTAAAGGCAAACTTGCATGAATCGATAGCATATTGATTTACACTACATTTATTTTCCCTTACACACTGTAGAAAATGTAATTATCACTTAATTATACAATTGCCATTTTACAATAACACATTTGACTGGCTCAGCCTGCAGCCAGAATCTTGAGTGGTGGTCCCGCCTCATTCTTCCAGCACAGAGGTGACCCAAGCCCTCATGTAAGCCACTCCCAGAGAAAGAGCCTATGACACTTTTGTGTCTCCAGAGCTCATTGCCTGTGAGCGAGCCTCCACTTTGAGGAACAGGCTGAAGGAAAAGGCAGCTGCTCCCTTCTGCCTGTGAGGTCTCCTTCACCGCACAGCTTGGTAGCTTCTGGAACACATTCTAATGAAGTGGGCAGCTTTAATTATTAATTAACTAAGCAGCAAAAAAATCATTGTATGTCTACGAATGCCAAGGCATTGTGTTAAACCCCTGTGTTGGTCTAATGTTGAACAAGGCCCATTGATCTCATGGAACTTGGGGCCTCGGGAGGAACAGCAAGAAATAAACAAGCACTAGTAGCACAGGTTACAAAGTGCTGCGGTGGGAGTGGTGCAGGGTGCCATGGGGTTCAAAGGAGGGACACCACGCTAGGTGGAGTGGGGACGCCACGGGGATGAGCATGGTTTCCCAGCAGAAGGGCCTTTCAGGAGGAAAGACGAGTATAAGGTATCAGGCTACAGGACTGACAGGAGAAGAGTATTCCAGACAGAGGGGGCATCCTGGTGAAGCCCAGGGGGCAGGGGGAGGACAGGTTATATTCTTACAGAAATGAAGACATTCATCATTGCTGACATGTGCAATTCAGGCAGTGGGTGGGACAGGAAAGGGAGAGCTGTTCGGAAATGCTGGAGAGACAGGCAGAGGCCGAGGCTCAGCCTCAGCAGTTTGAACTTCATCCTGAGAGTAAAAGGGAACCACTGAAGTGCTTTCCGCAGGGAAAGGTCCTAATCAGACTTCGGTCGGAGAAAGATCATTTTGATGGCAATGTGGAGAAAGGATAGGGAAGTGGGCAGCCCTGAGGCTGGGGAGACCAGTGAGAAGCCCAGGAGGGAGGTGAGGGTCCCCAAACCAGGAAAAGAGGGGTAGGGATGGAAGTAAGTAGAGGGCTTTCAGAGGGGTTTAGGAGGTAAAATCAATAAATCTTTGATAATTGATGATTGCTTGGGTGCAAGAGAGAGAATGGCCCTTCGTATTCTTGCATGGGCATGGAGGAAGCAGAGGGTACGGAGAGTTTGCAAATAGGCTGGTTTTTAGGTCACTGTGGGACTTTGGTGGAGACATGATGGGCTGTAGCAGGCATCCACCTAAAGCTCAGGAAAGGGCATCAGGATGGGGGCAGTCTGGAAGCCAACAGCATACAGAGAATGATTGAATCCTGTCATTGGGGAGAATGACACTCTGCCCTTGCACCCCAGGAGCGAATGGAGGCCTGGGCACAGAGCCCCTGCCAGGCCACCGGGGTTGCAGTGAGGCTTTGGGAGCATTCACGTGACAGTCTGTCTCCTTGCTCAGGTCTCTGGAGTGGCAGGAAACCCACAGCCAGCGGAAAGGCCAGCTGCATGAGAATAAGGATGATGGCGAGTTTTGGTATTTACTCTTCTTTTAAAATCACATTTACAGTCTCTAACTATTGCCCAAACCCTCAATCCTACCCTTCCCCTAAATTTTGGTGAGAACAGAGATTAACTTTGCAGAGACCTATGTAGACATAGGCTATTTTCATTACCAGGACACAAGTTTTGGATGGGAAATTATCATCTGTGTGCTCCCTCCTTGTGTGAAACGTATTTCTGCTCTGAAATATTGGAACTTCCAGAAATATAGGTGTTGGCAGTCATAGGAAATATTGACACCAAAACTTTGAAATCAGTAGTTTCCTGGAAACCAGGAGGCATGGCTACCATGCCCATATCCTCCATGCCATCTTGTGGAACCCTGAAGCTCCATAGCCTTCCCTGGCATGAGTTCCAAAAGAGCAACTTAATGTAAATCTCCCAGCCCTGACTCTAGGGTTCTGGGTGAGCCATCGGGGTCACCATCTGCTAGCTATGGTGGACTGGATGTTTTAGAAACACATTCTCAGCCGTATGCTCCCATCTGAAAACATAAGATGGACATTTCTCCAAGGAGCTGTCTGGTTTACTTAGCAACATATTTAAATGAAATTTAGTATGTGTGAAAAGAGGCTAGATCTAAATAATTAAGATTCAGGGAGACAAATGTAAATTAGAAAGGAAAAATATTTCCAGTATCTTCACTTTAATCACAGTACAAGGTGGGATTTTAGGTGTTGAATCCATTCCATTCTGATAAAGACCTCGGCAATGAATTTGGCAGAGGGCCCCAGGGAAAGGCGGCCTTCCCAGCAGTGTAGGACCCACAGCAGAGAGAAACGGTAGCCAGCCTGCAAGCCGTGCGAGGGGCATTCAGAACCCAGAATCTGACTCTGTCCTTGTCTTCCCAACCACTGGAGGAAGCAGAGGTGCACTTGACAGTGAATGAGCCAGAATGAGGCAGTCTGGGTAGGATGGCGATAAGTCACTGGATGCTGCAGCTGACAGGCAGAAGTACCGGGAAGGGATGGGAACCCTCCCCTGGGGGCCAGTACACACTAGGTGACATGTGTCTGTTTATAACAGGATGTCATGTCGAGATTTCCAAGAGAATTTCTCCTCCCTGTTTATATGTAACCAATTTCCAGTCAGCATGGACCGTGGAAGCATGCCCCCTGAAAGATGGTCCCAAATGATATTTAAGGACCATGCCATTCCAGGTAACAGTTATGACCTTGGTAATTATCCTGTCCCAGGGAAACCCAGCCCTGTCTTTGGCTCCTGGACTATGGAAGTTGAAAAGAGAAGAATTTGTCTGCCTAAAGGGACAGCTGTGCTTCTCCAAGGGAAATGCTTGCTGGTGGAGGTGGGCAGGGGAATCTCAGCTGTGCCTCCCCTGCCCATTCGTGCTCTCCATTGTCCACCCACCTCCCAGGAGTAGAACAGGCTCATTGCTCTCCAGTAGTTATCCGGGACAGTAGGAGAGTTTGGAAAGAAAACGGGACAAAAGTCAAGGCCTGGGTTAAACCAATTGTCTTCGCCACATACTGGCTCTGTGAGTCTGGGAACACAGCTGGTCTCTCAGTTCTCAGCCTCCCCCGCTGCACAGAAGAGGCAGCAATCCCTGTCTGCCCCTTTAAGGCACAAAGTGCCACGCAACCAGAGGGAGCACATTCCTGCTGCATGTTGGCTGGTGTCCTCTGCAGCGGCAGATCCCTCAGAGCCTGTCCTTGGGGTCCTCTGAGGTGAACCTTGCTGAGGGTGACCTTGGCAGAGTCACATATTCTCATGCACCTCCCACACCCATTTGTGACATGGATGAGTGAAATAGCTCCCTGAACATGAACCTGAGTATGCTTCCGTGTCCTGGATGGGAGGGGCTCTGCAAACAACGAATCTGCATGTATGAGTGTGTGTGTGTGTGTGTGTGTATGCACCCAGCCATGTGCATCCCCTCTCCTTGGCAGCTACGACTTACAAATAGTTAGCTCTAATGACCCCAAACCCCAGGGTGTCCCTCTTTTCAACCTCCAGACTCTTTGCTGGGCTGGTTAGGGTACCTTGTCCCCAGGACCAGTGGAAACCCAGGACCACAGGCAGACTCTATGAAAATGCTGAGTCACTCTTGGGCCGCAGATCTGATTCACCTTCCTGAGCCGCACCAGGGGCAAAGCCCTCTTCGCTGATGTAGTACATGTCAGCGAACTACCTGAAATTACACACTGGGGCCATTCTGAGTAATTCCTTAGGAGGGAGAGAGGGAAGGGCGCCCGCGCCTGCCATGTGCTGCTCAGTGCACTTCGGTGAATCGTCTTGTTCAATCCTCACAGAAAGCCTATGACCCCGATGGTCCTCTGCGTCTCCCCATTTCCCTTTGGGAGCTTCCCAACTTGGACCCAAACCTCTGACGAATATTAATCCATTTCTGTCTTATCTTCATTCTTTCATGCAGTTGAATCTAACAGTTCTCACATTAGTTCTCTCCTGCCCTGGCTTTGATGAGTACATGTGGGTAGCAGAGGACAATGAATTGGCCTGTCTGCCTACTTTTCTCTGGCTCCATTGATACTTGCGGGATTGACATCATTTCAAGGCACTGAAGGTTATCACCAACACATAAGCTCACGCATACCTCAGAACTCTGGAATTATATAACCCTCAACTTAACAGTTTAAGAAACATAACCCTCAACTTAACAGTTTAAGAAACATTTTCCCCCAGTGGTTTTTAACAGGAGGAGACTGCATTTTGAGGCTCCCAAAATGAAAAAGCTTGTGCCACAATTAGCAACCATGGGGACTGGGACCCAGGCCTCAGGTGCACAAAACCAGGGTTTCTAACACAACTCCCCAGAGCACCTCTGGTCTAAGCCTGGCCCCATCCAGGAGTCCTAGGGGCTGAGCTGAGCTCCAGTAACAGCTCTTTCTCATGCCGAAGGACATCAGAGGGACATGCAGTACTTCTTCTGTGTACCAGAGAACATGGAAAGCAACAATGTCATCGTGTCCTTCAACATCATGCCACAAAATGTAAGGACAAAAAACAAGGAATTTCCACTCATCTTCAGTGTGTTCAAGGTAAGGCCACTGGCTTCAGGGCTTACCCTCTGGGACATTTGTATGTGTGTTGGTGGAGAGAGCAGCCAACCAGGTTGGGAAACTTCACTGAACTATAGCCTCAGAGATAAAACCTGAAGGGGCTATAGAGTTCATCTGGTTCAACTCTGTAAATTTGCAGGAAAACCTCAGACAGGGACCAGATGAGGTTTGACCAAGTTTACAATGGGACATATCTCTTGCCCATGTCACTCGTCAGCATCTTCAGGGATGCGGTAAGTTCCAGTGCCTGTTACTAAAAAAGTAGTCTGGTCCAAACATGTTGTTGAAACAATTCAGATTCCTGGGACCACCCCAAACCTTCTGAATGTCTAGAGACAGAGTCTGAAAATCCACATTGTAATAAGATCCCTGGGTGCTGCTTATGCACATGAAACTTTGAGAATGAATGGCTAAACTTTGGGAGGAGTTTAAGGGAAAAAAAACAATCCTGGGTATAAAGCTAGGAGTTATGTTTTTCTTTAGACTACAGTCCAGTCCTAGCTCAGTGGTTGGCTTGCAGGCATCTGTTTGGCCCCCTAGCCCAGGCCAGGTTTCCCCACCCACTGAGCCACCTCTCCCACCTCATGGCATCCCAGCCTGCTTTTGAACTCCCTAAGGTTAGCAGGCCTCTGAACCCTCAGAGTCCCCCAGCTTTCACCTCTGTAGAAGAACAAAAGGAAAGGAGTTGGGAAGGGCTGGGAAGGAATTGGGGGATCTGGTCTGCCCAGCCAGGACTGAACAGTGCTGGCACCAGACAAGACTACTAAATGTCTTAACCAATTCTTCCTCTTCTGGTGAGACAGAAGCCCATGAGGGCTGATGCAGTGCACGACCCTGGGGGAGGCTGTTCCCATCGTCATTACAGTCTAGTATCCCAGAGCTGGGCAACACAATAGCCTTCTATTAACTCATCTGTCCAAAGTCTTTACATTTCAGGAGTCCTGGAAAGACCCTAATTGTATGTTTTTTAAATGCTGTCAAACCTGTTTCTCTACTTTTCAGCCAGAGATGCATTCTTTCTCAGCTGCCCACGTTTCCCAAAGGGGCACTCAGATTGAGATATCCTCAGGCTCCCTGGAGATCCTAGTGGATCTTGCAGGATCCCGACTGAGTTAAACACCAAAGAACTGTCCAGACCTTGGCGATTCAAGAGACACGTGGGTTCCTTTCACAGATCAGCTGAGAGGCCATGTGCATGGCAGCAACCAGGCTCTCTGAAGTTTCCAGGGCTCTCATGGTGCTTGTAGGTACAATGCTGTAGGTGACAACTGCATCCAGTGCTCTCGCCTGGGTGTGGGCCTGTGACTCCCCAGCTGCTAGGGGAGCACTGCTCTGCCTTGCATCAAGCTAAACACAGGTGGTCTACCAATAGGCAAGAAGGAGGCAGGACAGAGGAAAAGGACAAGGGTAGACAAGCCATTTCATCTTCACGCCAAACACCCTCCCCGAGGCTTGGATTCTCCACTTCCTTCCAGCTCACTAGTGATCTCCAGAGAAGTCTGCTGGGCAAATCAAGTATATGTAGGTGGGGCCCAGGACCAGCAGGGGAAAGATCTGAGCCACACCAGCCATGGAAGACGGTGCCTGGTGGTGGATCTTAATTACAGAGGAAGCAACACAGCTTGCTCTATTTTTGCCTCTGTTACTTAGACTGCTGAGACTCAGTTTCCACATCCATAAAATGGGGAGCCTAGTGTCTGCTTGCAGGATTCCTGTGACAATCCAGTACATTACACAGAAGTGTTTTATTAACTGTGGTGTGGCTTAAAGATGGCACTGAATCCTCAATGCTTCCTTTTGCCACACGGCAAGACTGGAATGTAGGTCTTTCCCCATTCAGATGCACACATACATTCCCTACAAACACCAGGGGCTAGAACAAATTCCCATCGTACTTTACAATGGGATGGTGGAATAGAGAAGATAATTTCTCATTGGTGCTCCTGATGTTGGGAAATTTACATTTGATCCAGATTCTGTCTTGCCTCCAGGCCCTCTCTATGTCTCACTTTCCTTCCTGATTCTACCATCATTGCCGTGAAGATTGACCACACTTGGCTGAGTTGACAAAGGGAAAGTCTCCTTCTCAATTTCCCTCCCCTTATTCTCCCTACGATGGACTGGTTAGGTTTCCTTTTTCAGGATTTCATGCAGGGAATGAGTTATGCTCCCCAGTCACCCCCAGGTGAGCCAGGGAACAGGCTGACCATGCAGGAAGGAATGCAGGGCCCTGAGCCAGGCTGCTGGGATCTGACTGCCTTTGTGTTTTGGTTTGGGCCCCTGAACCTACCTTTCTTTTTCCCAACAGGTCGACCCTCAGGTATGACTCACTGCTGCCTCCTGGGCCTGTGGAGCTTCTGTTCCTTCTGTGGGTGAGGTGCTAAGCCTCCTCCAAACCATGGCCTTGACATGTCTCTCACTGTTTGGATGCTGCAAATTCAGTCTTGTTATGTCCTGTAACAGATACATGCCCTGTAACAGATGGTCTGGAGGTTGGACCTTGTGAGCTGGCTCAACATTAAGAGGAGCTGCAACTCTGAGTCCATTCTCAGGCATTTGGCCTCTAGTAGATAAGACTGATGTAGCGGGATCCTTTTTATTTAAGATGAGAGGCAAGGCTAATGGGGGTGCCTTGGAGAGGGCAGATCTTTAGCCTCTCATATTCTTTGTCAGCCCCCAAACCCACCATAAACAGGATACCTTGCTTTGCAAAGGCAAATTCAAGGCATGTCCTCTAGCTCTTCTTATAACCAAATTGCTACCCTTTTCCTAATCAGGTATTCTGGGTCGGCATTGGTGAAAAGGTGACTTGAAATATGAGTAAGGATGAGGAGGACAAATGGAATTTGGGAAACCTGACCTCATGGGCACTCAGAGCCTCAATGGGCCCTGGGCTCTGCAAAGCTACTGCAGCAGGGGAGGTACCTGCCCCTGGGGACCAAGGGTGGAAGGCAGGGAGCAGCATGTAAGTAGTAGCTTCAGCATGTTCCCCATAGAGAAGCAACTCCACACCTCCCAGGGATGCCCCAACTGACAGACGGGGGCCAGGACGGGGGTGCAGGGGGGTGGGAGGGGGTGTCTCCAAGCAGAGGATACTCAGAAGCCCAGGCAGAAAGCAGGCATCAAGGGGGCCACTGCAGCAGTGGCCCAACCACAGAGCTGGGTCTGATTTGGGTCCCCAGAAGCCAGAAGGGTTTCCAAGAAAGCAATCAGTTCCAAGGAACAGATTGTTGATCTAGTTCCCAGAGCTGGGGAATGGGACTGAGGACTTGATCTGGGAAAAGGCACGAGCCCCATCCCTAGAGCAACAGGGTCAGGTCTGTATGTGAACAATGACTAACCCTGTGGTGATTTGATGCTGGCTTCTCTGAGTGCTGGACCAAGAACCTCCCATCACTCTACCATACTCACAGTTTTTGTTGCCATTGAGCAAGTCTGTTCTGAAGGATTGGGAGCCTGGACAGGGCTGCAAGAGTCCAGTGGCAGGAGGAGGGCAGGAGAGCAGAGAAGCAGGGAAATCCCTACCTTCTAGATTATAGGAGGTATGATGCCCATATACCTCTGTACGCAATGCCTCCCCATGTGCGCACTTTTGCCTACACACACACACACACACACACAGATCCACAAGACAGTGCTGACTATCTGGAGAAAAACTGATCTCATCATTGCTTTTGCTAGAAGTGCCCAGGCAAGTCAAACTCCAAGCCTGCAGGGGCTGCTATTAACATCAGCAAAATCACCTCGGGGATTGCCCCCTGCATGCCTGGGGCAGTGGCCTATCTCCTTTCTCATCTTGTAGCCTAGTCCTATCCACACCCCCAGAAAAGAAACTCTCTCCTTCTCCCTGTTTTTCCCCAAGGTAGAGCTCACAAATAATCATTTCACGCAGCGCAGCCATTCTAAATGGAATCCCCATGCTTGACTGTATTGGGGAAAATTTATTTAGTGAGGGGTTTTTATTAGGTAATATGTATGTGACATCCAGTAATAGGAACTGCTTCATATTTATTGTTTTATCTCTCAGAAAAATATTGAAATAAAAGGAAAATGATCAGGGCTCATTATTCTCCAATGAGAAGGCATTCAGGACTCTGCTGACAAGATGAAATGGAGGAAATGGAAGGAGTCTAACTCTGGTGCTCTCATAGTCCAAGGCATGCTTTGCAAAAGGCCCAGGGCAGAAGGGGCTTTGGAGACTCCAAAAGCAATTCAGTGTTGGAACAATCTCACTCGTTTTCTTGGAAGTCTTCTTTATATATAAGCAGAAACCGAGGATGCTGTTAGATTTAATGAGCTAAAAACCACGTCATGTTACTTTGCATTCATTGCAGTGTTAACATCTGTATTAGATGACAGTCTAAACTCTATTGCATTTAGACAGTAAGCACTGTCTCCCTCTACCAGGCCTGTCATTTTGGTGAATGCAGAGGGGTGTGGAAGGGGGCAGGTCTCTGCTTGGGGCTGGGCTAGGCACGCAGGTGCTTTCTCACCGTGGTCATGTTTCTGCCAGTTCCAGCACTTCCGGGAGAGGCTGCCATCTACCTTTTTTCACCAGTTCAGAAATCCAGACAAGGGCATAACTTCTCAAAGCAATTACAACCTCACAAAGTACTTCAATCTGACACAGGGGACCTATGTGGTAGTCGTCTCTGCGCACAAAGCAGTGGAGTTCTTGCTCCGAATCTTCCTGAAGATGCCAGAGAGTGACAGGTACAGAACCTCTGGGAATCTAAATATCTTGTTCTATTTCATGTTATAAAAGCACATTGCATTGTTCTGTTCAGTACATACTATGTCAGTGGCACACAGAGCATGAGCCCCACCTCTGAGAAGCTCCCCACAAAGTGGGGTGAGAAAGTCTATGAACCAATAAGTAGCCAAACAGGATGGAGCCATTGCTCCAGTGGCCTTGCAAAGTCACATGGGAGGATAGAGTGGAAGGATCCAGCCCTGGCAAGAGGGACTGAGGAAGGCTTCTTGTGGGTAATGGCATTTGAGATAGTCCTTGGTGGAAGCCATAATTTAGTATTTTAAAGGGGAAGGCAATGCAGGTAGAAGGAAAAAGCATGAGCAAAACCAGAAAAGTGGGTGAGCACAGGGCTTGTTGAAGAATAAGTGATGTGAGTCATATGTACAGGAAGCTGTGTGCACACAGCATGCATGGCAACTGTCTGATATATAACCAGGATGTGGGGTATACCAAGAAGACAATGAAAGAGTCTGATCATGGAGGGTCTTTGATGCCAAGTCAGTAGTTAAGACTGGAATCAACAGGTCCACGCCCTGCTGTGTAGACTCAGCATTTGCCACCATTGTCAAGGCCATCTCTACAGCTGAGCGTGGGTGAGGCCCCAGGCCAGCACACCAGCCAGCCACTGTGCCACCAGAGCCAGAACACAGAACAAGGCTTTTCTGTCACCTTGGCAACAGAGATCGCTCCATGTGAGCACCTAGTGGTGAAAGGAACCATTTACTAAATGGTGGGAAGACCAGATGATGTCCATCCCCAAAACTGGGCACGTGGTTATGATGCTTGTCTGTCTGCTGACGGCCCACTTCCCACCTTGCTGTGCCTACAGCATTCCCCACGAGGTCCTTAGCATGAATGTCCAGTGTACCCACCATGCCCTCCATATGCAAGCCCCCTTTGAGGGGTGCACTGGTCATGCTTGTCACATTGTTTCCCTGATCTTCTAGGAACCTGGGCAGCAACTTCAACCTCAGAGCACTGAAGGTAGGTGTGCAGCAACATTGGGCTGGAGAGCGTCAATGGTCAAGTCCCATCTGCAGGAGCGTCTATCTCTTTCCTTGCCTTACCACTGACCAATGAGAGCAGAAACACCATAATGGGCTGGTGATGGCTCAGAGGGGCAGGACAGAGGGGAGACCAGTCCTCCAAGGTCAGGCTGGGCCTGTCATCTTCCTTCTGCAGACTTCAGCATTCCCATTCCCCTAAAGGTTTTATTCAATTTGGATAAAGCCTCTGTCTCAGATCTAAGTGAGGGGTCCTTGTGCTTCGCTGTACCAGACAGGTAGCCTCTTTCCCCAGAAATATGATGTTGGCTGTTTTCCCTTTGATCCATCTAAGTCTTCCAGAAAACGACTCCCCAAAATGCATTTTCTACACGTATTCTCAGCAGATATGGTACTTCGCACAGGGACAAGCAATGGTAGGAAGGAAACCTCTCCCAGGCCATTTTCAGGACACAGAGGGGGAGAGTGACTCCATGGGTTGTTTTATCACCTTCTCTCGCCGTGTGTTTCCAGAACTGATCTGGCTACCAGTCCCTGCGGAGAAGTGGCACCCCACCTGGGCGACCCCTGGGATGGAATGTAGAACTTGGAAAGGGAGGGGCTATTATAGAGGGAGGTGTACTTCTTCAGTCTTTGAACCAGCAATTGGCAAGAGCCCCTTGAAACCTTTCCTCCTGCTCGGGCACCTCCTACCAGCCTCGGCATCATTCCTCCTGGGAGCTGGCCAGTTTTAGAAATCACAGCATTCTTCCTGCCAAGCTACCAATGTGCACAGGGGATTTCTTAATGGTTTAATAAACTGTTATAAAGAGCTCCTTGACTTGTCAGGAGAAAAGCAGCTGCCAAGGACTGTGCGCCATGGGCCCTTTTCCATTACTAGTCTCAGTGGTGTGGGAAGAAGAAAGTGATGCGGCTGGTTGTGTGAACTGTGCCAGCCTTGGGCCAGGCAGAAGCCAAGGACAAGAAGGATGGCAGGCATTCAGAGGGCTCATGGGGTAACAAGGATGCAGCCCAAAGGCAAATTGTTCACGCAGCCTGGGTCCAAAGGAAAAAGCAAGGAGGAATGAAGAATGTGGCTGGCATGAGGGGTTGCAGCGAGCAGCTCAGTACGGACCTCTGTGTCTCTGTTTAATAGTCATGGAAGGCACCACCACGTAATGCTGTTCAGTCTCCCCAGAAGCAAATTGAAAGCAGTTAATACCCCCAGAAGTTCAGGCCAGGAGAAGTTTCACTCCCCTCAACCTCAATTGCTTCCCGTTTTTAATTCAAAGAAAAGCATGCTGTCTCCCCTTTTGTTCCGGTGTCTAGGAAGATAAATGCTAGGTAATGTGCTCAGTTCTCTTAGACTAGATGCCTGGAGCTTTTCTCTTCTCACACCACACTCGCACACCCGCACACACTCACCCAGAAGTCTTATTTTCTCCTAGTCTCTTTCTGGAAGCAGATGGGGAGCACACAGCTACAGGGTTATGCGTGATGAACACTCATCAGCATGACCTGGAGCAGTCAAGGGAGCCTTCCTGACAAAGGCTTGCCAGGCATTCAGGGAAGCCAAGTGCTTAGAAACCTGAGCACTCTTACAGAGTCGGCCAGGTGTGCCCTTGGCTCCTGCCATAGGGTTCCTGCATTCCTCCTTTGTTTGGACCAGGGGCTGAACATTGATGCCAGCCAGCTTCAGACCCTTCTCAACCAGGAACTGCTAACAGGTAAGGTCAGACCCATGGGCCTGCCAGCCCTAACCTCATCCCCACTGTGGAGCCAGTCCAGCATCAGCCCACCCTGACGCTGCTGTCCTTCCTGTTCTCTCCCCCCAGGGTCTCCAGGGGACACGTTCTCTTTGGATGAGTGCCGCAGCATTGTGGCTCTGATGGAAGTATCCTTTGCTGTGGCTCTGCACCCCACCCCGCCCAGCTCTGTGAGCCCACCTGCTCCGTGGGCTCTCCCAGCCGTCTAATTAGGATGCCAGGGAGCCCTTGCTCACTCTCAGTATTTCCTCTTCTTTGGTCCTAAGGGCACCCAAGGTCCTGGGTTCTGTGGATTTCATACCAACTCACCAGCTCTCCAGAGCAGAGCAGCCACAGCAACAATGCCAGTGGTTACCATCTACCAAGTATCTGCTGCATGCTAAGAATTGCACTGATGGATGTATGGATAGATAGATAGATAGATAGATAGATAGATAGATAGATAGATAGATAGATAGATAGATAGATAGATAGATAGATAGATGATAGATAGATGATAGATAGATAGATAGATGATAGATGATAGATAAATAGATGATAGATGATATAGATAGATGATAGATAGATAAATAGATAGATAGATAGATAGATAGATAGATAGATAGATAGATAGATAGATAGATAGATAGATGATAGATAGATAGATGATAGATGTGTGTGTGTGTGTGTGTGTGTGTGTGTGTGTGTGTGTGGCATTTTCCTTGCAATTCTTGCAATAACACCAATGATACAAGAAGTATTATCCCATCATGCAAAGGAAAAAACAGGCATTCAGAGAGGTTAAGTAACTGGTTAAGTAATCACACAACTAGTCAGAATTTTTGCATAGAGTTTAAATTGGAGTCCAGTCTCCAACATCTCCCCTGTCTCCTTGTAGTGGCACTGGGAACTATGTCCCATCCACCCCTCCCCTTACCACTCCCCTTACCACTGGAGGAGCCTTCCTATGTAAATACCTGACTCCATAAGCCCCCAAGTCAATAAAGATAACAGCCCCTGAAACTTGTGGAAAACTCCTCTGTCTACATTCAAGTGCACCCTGGTATTATTCTCACACTTGCTGCATTTGTAGCTGAGGTGAGGGGGGTTGGGGACAGCCGGTGTGGCAGGGCTGAGAACCCCAGGTCTCCTGACTTCTGTCCTGACTTCCACTCTGCAAAGAGCCATTTCTTCCCTTGCTGCTCCATCTCCCAACAGGCCAGGCCATAGAGACTGGCTTCACGGGTGCGTGACCCCCAGCTGCCACCTTGTAGCTCTGTTCTCGAATGTGTGCTGTCTCCCTGGAGTGAGACAGACCCCCGGTCCTCTGTTAACAAGGCTCGATGGGAACACGGAGCCAGCCATTGTCGAACAAGCCTTCTTGATGAAATCATAAATCAGGCCCTGTCTCTGCTGGCTGTGGTTTGGAATCACTCAGAGACACTGCCTGTCCCCTACAGAGGAATCAAAATGGTTTGTGGCAGCCCCACAGCCTGGGATAGTAACCCCAGGGTAGGTCAGCAGGTCACATCTGCTGGACCCCTGCAGAGAAGACAGGTCTTTGTACGCTCCTTCCTCCTCCCCCACCAGCAACCCTGCTCCCTTTCCTCTCACTAGTTCCTATGAGGCCCTAGAGTGACCAGGGCTTTAATACATGGAGTGAATCCATCCCCTCACGTGCACAAGGACACCCTCCCCTGTCTCACTGCTTCAGGAGTCGCAGTGACGTCCCTTATACTCCTCCCCATGCTCCCCCGGCATGGGTCCCACCCAGCCAGTAAAGCCTATATTCGGGGCTCACCTTCTTCCCCTGGATTCAAGTGATGTTGTCACCCCCTTCTCAATGCTTCCTTCTCCAACTGCCCTTTTCCCTTGTAAAATAAGTCTAAGCCAGGTTGCTTGCAGACCCAGCAGGAGCCAGCCAGCCTGGGGCCATCCAGATGACACTGGGCTGACAGCTACTAGTTGATGGATGGAGCTGCTCCTGGCTGGGTTGGTGGGACCTACGGCCCCTCTGCTTGCTCCACACTGGACTGGTTACCTCTTAACTGCCCACCAGCTGAAAGTGAATGGGCGCCTTGACCAGGAGGAGTTTTCAAGGCTGTGGAGCCGTCTCGTCTGCTGCCAGGTACCAGCATGTGTGACCAGCACTCTTATTCTGTCCAGTTGAGAAATAGTTACAAGGTGCCCAACTCCGCACCAGGGCTGAGGGGTACACAAAAGGAGGAACCTCCCCGCTCCAGGAGAGCGTGTGTATTGTTTGGGGTGATGTCCACGTGCTGCTAGAGCACAAGGCGGTGCCCGGCCAGTGGCTGTGCGAGGAGCACCCTAGGAGGCTGGAGGAGAACAGGGCCACAGTGGGCAGTAGCTGAGACTACCATGAGCATTTCCCCCCTTGTCTCCACACTGGCCCCTGCAACATCCCCCAGCCCACTAGTCCATCTCATTTTCCAATCCATCTGTCAGGAGAGACATCGAAACCACAGCTGCAGCCTGTGGCCTCGCCATTGTTCTCAGGACAAAGTCTAAACTCATCAGAGCTGTGCACAAGATCCTCCAAGTTGGGACCCCACTTTGCGGTCCAGGAGAAGCCCTTTCACTCCTTTTCCTTCAGACCCAACCATGAGCCTGACCAGTGCCCACCTGCCCTGAGAATCCAGCCTCAAAAGCACCTCCCCTGCAGGAACCCCCCCCCACCCTCCAGAAGGCTTGCCAGCCCCTGAGGCCCTGTTAGTGCCCCTCAGCTCTTCACACATGAGTCCATATAAGGAAGTCTTGTCTGCGGGGCTGCGCCAGGATGTATCACCTACTCCCTGACTTGGGGTCATTGGGCTTCTCACAGGACTCAGCAGCTAACACAGCCCTCCATTAAATTGTGGGGTTCTCCAGGGCAGGGGCTCCCTCACACTCATCCTTCCCCAGCACCTTCCTTGGTGTCTTGCACACAGCAGGCACTCAAACATGCTGGACAAGTGACTAAACTAATGAATCACTGAATGACTATGTGAACACCTAATGTAGAACACTCTAGGTCTCTCTTGATACTCACCAAAAGCCAAATAAAACCAAAGAAAGTTCTCAGGCTGCTATCTTACAGAAATTGTCTCCTGCCATTGGCCACCATCACACGCTTACTTGGGGGTATTTTGCCTTAGAACAGCTCTTCTGGGGTAGCTATGCACAGGCCAAATTAGTCCCCAGTCAGCAGGGGCGCTTACATGCTCAGCCCAAGGCAGGTTACCTGCCTGAGTGTCAGTTTCCTCACCTGAGAAGTAATATGATGATCCAGTTATAGTGACAATTAGGGCAGGTAGAAAAGTCCAGCATAAATGGAGGGTTCCCTGTGCAAAATCCAGGTGTTAGAGTCACTACATCCTGCAGCTGTGGGTGGAAGCAGGTGCAGTTCCGCCCCACCTCGAGGCTTCTGCACTGCCCTCACTATTGAGCAGGACACACCCCGAGACTCTTGATGAATATTTGAGCATTTACTCCTTGCAGTTAACCTATGAGGTAGATACTGTAATTATTCCTGTGCTATAGATGGGGAAACTGAGGCCCAGAAAGATTAAGTAATTTGCCCAGGGTTATGCAGCTGGCAAAGAGGCAGGCAGGGATTAAGACTTGGCAGGCTGGTTGTAAGGCTGGTGCTCTTAACCACTTCCCTCTGCCAAGTCTTCAGAGAGCCCTACCCTCCCTCAAGAGCAGCAGGCTGCCCTGTCTGTCAGGAGCCATGTCTAGGGGGCAGGGGGCCAAGGAAGACAAAAGAGGAGGTGCGGGAGGAACCCACAGCCCTGCAGCTGGGGGCCAGGGTGGTTGGCTTGATAAGGCAGAGCCGACTCCTGCCTACGATCTTCAGTGTGCTGGACCCACTCAAGGTTTAGTGAGGCAGCCTCGGGGATGGTATAGGGCTTCCCTTTTCCCAGCACATCCTCTTCAAGGTGGGTGCCAGCACTCACACGGGCTTCCTGTCTCTTTTCCCATATCAGAGTGTTTTCCAGAACATCCAGAAGCACTCTGGAGTTTTCCTGAGCTCAGATTTGTGGAAGGCCATAAAGGATGCAGGTAAGGCAGGGGGCCCTTTGGGCTTTGATGAGGTGTGTGTGTGTGTGTGTGTGTGTGTGTAACGGCTGTAGACAATGCTGGTGCAGAGGCTGGGCCAATCAGGAGAGAGCAGAGCTACAGCTTCCGTATCCCCCCTGGTTTACGTGGGCCTCTGGGGGGTCCCAAGCTTGGGACTCAGACTCCATCCTCCCCCACTGAGTTCTCACAGGCCAGACAATTTCCTCCATTGCCTTTTCTCCCCAGCACAGTCCTAAATGTGAGAAAATAACCCCACACGATTGATGCCCTCCCAGAACTGGAACTCACCTTGGAGACGCTTCCATTTCAGCATCAGGGCCACCAGGGTTAAATATCCACGGGCAGCCTGCTGCAATCTCTTCACAGAGTTTGGATCTAAATGAAGTCAAGTGGCATCTGACTGGGTCAAGTAGGCCAGAGCTTTCAGCCCTGGGATAATGATCCTAATATCGCGGGGCACATAAGTGCTTCATAGTTCAGCGAGAACATGCACTCACGCCATCATCTCATTTGATTGTCTCCACTCCTCTGCCATCTGAGTCATTATCTCAACTGTACCAATGGGGAACATAGATCGCAAGAAGGTTAAGTCAGGGAACTGCCATTTTCCTTAATAAAATGTAAAATCAGATTCCCCCAGGTTAGCGCTGGAAGGAGAGGTCCCCAGTTCTCCCTCCTGTGGCTCCTGGCCTGGGGACTGAGTAGAATCATGGGCTGCTGCTCCCCTTAATTCGTCATAGCAGAGAGCTGTGCCTCTCAACCTTGAGTGTGCACTAGAACCCTCCAGAATCTTGGTAAAGCACAGATGGAGCCTCGTCCATCACTCAAAGTTTCTGATTCAGGAGGACTGTGATGAGGCTCAATAATTAGCATTTCTTGCAATTACCCATGTGAGGCTGGTGCTCCTGGTCTAGGGAACACAATAGTAGAACCACTGAATAACTACAGAAAGATAGAATCTTTAAAGGAGACCTCACTAGTGATTTCAGAATAACAAAAGGGAAAAAGATAGAGAATAGTTGGAATTCAACAGAAAAGCAGTCCAGGCCCAGGCTGCTAAGGTAGAGGGGCACGGAGCTAACTATAAGGAGAGAGCGTAACTTGAAACTGTGGTGAGCTGGAGGGTGCTGCCCCATCTAGGGCCTTCAGATGACCTTATTAACTGCTGGAGAAACTGTGTCTTAGCTGCATGGGGCTTGCAGGCCACCAGCCTCATCCACTGGATGGATGGCTTGGTTTGCACAATTCTGCCTGCCTCCCAAAGCTCACAGGCCTGTTTTCCAGTCTGCCATTGTCTGCTATGTGCCTCCTGGAGCTCATACTAGATGGCAAGATGGCAAGGTCCAAAGAGAGAAAGGCATCTTGCACCTGAGGCCACTCCTTGCTTGGTGCTGACTTAGGCCGGTGCCTCCCTCTTCCATGAGGCACACTTGCCAGCACTAGCAGAAACCACACACAGGCCCCATCTGGAGTCTGGGGGTCCAGGGGGAGGCTGTTGACAAGGTCAGCAGTGGAGAGGCCTGACAGAGGCAAGGCTGGGAGCAAAGCCCAGGTGGCCTGGAAGCTCCCATTCCACATGGGAATTATCAGATGATTGGGAAGGCTGAAGTATCCTCCAAACAGCGTGTATCTTGAGTATCTTGAGTTGGTCTCTGGTCAAACTCCAGAACACTGTCATGGGGGCCCAGCAGCCAGTGAGAAAGAGGCAACTTCAGAATCATAATGGCACTGAAGGGCAGCAGACTAGCCACTGAGCCGCTGAGGAGGAAGCGGGGCTAAAAGGCCGCTAGGCCCCCTGGGCACCGCTCACAGCAAAGGGCTGCCCTTCCCTCAGCTCTTCCCTGCTCACTAGCTCACCCCGTGGCCCAGACTTCCTTGCAGGGATCTCTGTCAACAAAGAGCTGCTGGACCTCATGACCCTCAGATACAGTGACCACACTGGAAGGGTTGGCTTCTCCAGCCTGGTCTGCTTTCTGTTGCGACTTGAAGCCATGGCAAGTAAGTGTCACCTGGGGGCATCCTGGAGACCGTCACAGTGGGCAGAAAACACGGGAGAGGCCCAGGAACACACTCCTGCCCCAGGTCTGGGCAGGGCCTCAGCCATGGGCTGGCTGGGGTCCTGTGTGTGGATCCCTGGCTGCAGGAGCGAGCACCGGCCTCAGCCTGCATGTAGTCGGTCTGTGTCCCCTGCAGCCCGTCTGCACCTTGTTCTCCCCAGGATGGCCCCCTCCCAGGGCTCTCATCGCTGCATCACCCTGTCAGTGCCTCTTTCAGTAACAAGGTTAATTTACCTCCCTATGTCCCCTTTCTGGATTCTTTACAGTTTAAACCTCCCCTTCTGTCATGCAATGAATGATCTGGGGCTCTGCTGAAGGAATTACACACACAAGAGAATAGGTGGGGACAGCCGGTCTTTCCCAAAGCTTCAAAAATTCAACTACATGGGTCAGAGGTTTTGACACTTTTTATGTTGTTGTAAATGAAACCTTTGTTGTGAATGAAAGCTTATGCTAAACCCCAAGCCATGACAGAGCTCAGACGCTGTGAGGCTGAGGTAGAATGGTTGAGGCAGAACCCGCATGAGGCAGTTCTGTAAGCACGACAGCGGAGCTAGGCAGCTCAGACTGAGAGGACAGAGGCCTGGAGCTGACAGAGGAGGCGGAGGCGTGAGCCTTGCTCCAGAGAGTTCTCAGCTGGACAAAGGAGGCTCCCAAGCTGTGCAATGAAATACTTCCTCAGATGAGCCCCCGCATCCCCAGGGCCAATGCAGAGGGGTGTGGAACGGGAGGAAGCGGGGGGAGGGAGAGGGCCCCGTGCGGCCCAGAGCAGACAGCGATGCGCCCTGAGCTGCCCCACGGGTGGAGAGTTTGTCTGGGGAGCAGGGGATGCCCCCCCTGTGGGGACAGAGCCCCTCACCCCGGGTCACCACATTTGTTTCTGTCTTAACAGGGCCCAACCCTCCCTCCCTTGGCCCGTCCTGATTTTTCTCCTCCGTTTTACCCTAGGGACTTTCCAGAACCTCTCTAAGGATGGAAAAGGACTCTACCTGACCAAAATGGAGGTGAGGGGCCTTCCCCTCCCAGAGACAGCGCCCAGCCCCAGGCCACCTCTCCTCACTGATTCCAGGGGCATTTTTCTCCCTGAGAATATTGAACAGCCTGTCAAAGGCCAGCCGAGCTGCCGGCCCCCCTGCCTCCAATTACTGCCTTTATATATTGCTGACTGCCAAGGCTGCTTCAGGATCTTGGCAGACAGATTTTACTTTTTTCCAATAGCTTAATAAAGCAGAGGATTATGTGGGAGTCATAAATCCAAGAGGGAACTGAAGAACACCTGCTGAGCCCACTGTACATTAAATTTACTCCCATGGAGTTTTAGAGCGAGCCTCCTGGCCCAGCCAGCTGGTCGACCTCAGCTACCCCTACACTGGCTATTCAGGAAGTAGCAGAAGATAGGCTCTAACAGGGAGCTGAGACCTCCTGCCTGGGCTGGAATTAGCTGGAAAGGGTTGATAAGACAACTGAGATCTTTCAAGGAAGGAGGGTACCATTTGCCCTGTTCTTTTATTAAGCTAACAAGTTTAAAGATTGATTGTAATGATGATACTTACTTTCAGTGGATGAATCTGGTCATGTACAACTGAAGCAGAGAGTAGAGCAGTCCCCAGAGGCCAGGTAAGACATGACAACTTTAGAATCCTTTCCTCCTAGGAGTACAATTTCCTTTCTTCTCTAGAAACCACACAGAAGATTCTCTCCCTGGGAGCAGCCTCCCCAGAGATTACAGATCCCTTATGTGTGTAAGCCAAGGCTGAGCTACTCAAGGCCCCTGAGTTTTAGGGTTAAAAAATGCTGCAAATTTCATCCAAGCTGTGTAGACCAGTGGGCTTTCATGAGAGTGTAGCTTAAAGTCATGAGTGAGGGATTTAGAGTTCTTTCTTTTAATTAATTTCTTATTGAGATACAATCAACATTTAACATTGTATTAGCATAAGGTGTACAACATAATTTGACATATGTATATATTGTGAAATGACTATAAGTTCATATCCATCACCACACATACAAATTTTTTTCTTGTGGTAACTTTCACAATTTGCTATCTCAGCAACTTGCAAATATATAATACAGTATCGCAAACTGTAGTCACCATGATGGACATTATATCCCCAGGACTTATTTGTCTTATAAATGGAAGTTTGTATCTTTTAACCACTGTCACCCTTTTGGCCCACCCACTGACCCCACCAATGCCTCTGGCAACCACGGATCTGTTCTCTGAATCTACAAGTTTGTTTTTTCAGATTTCACATATAAGTGAGTTCACACAGTAGTTGTCTCTCTCTGACGCACTTCACTTAGCATAATGTCCTCAAGGTCCATCCATGTAAATGGCAGAATTTCCTTCTTTTTATGGTGGAATAACATTTCGGTGTGTGTGTGTGTGTGTGTGTGTGTGTGTGTACACACAGCACATTTTCTTTATCTAGTCATCTGTTGATGGACACTTGGGTTGTTTCCATGTATTGGTTATTGTAAATAATGTTGCAGTGAACATGGAGGTGTGTGTATCTTCTTGAGTTAGTGTTTTTGTTTCCTTTGGATAAGTACGGAGAAGTAGAATTGCTGGATCATATGGCAGTTCTATTTTTAATTTTTTGAAGAACCTCATACTGTTTTCCGTAGTGGCTGCATCAATTTTCATCCCCACCAACAGTGCACAAGGGTTCCTTTTCTTCCACATCCTCTCCTATACTTATTTCTTGTCTTTTTGATATTAGCTACTCTGACTGGTGTGAGATAATATCTCATTGTGGTTTTGATTTGCATTTGCTTGATGATTAATGATATCGAACACCTTTGAAAGTATTTTTTGCTATTTTTGTCTGCTTTGGAAAAAATGTCTATTTAAATCTTCTGCCTATTTTTTAATCAGGTTATTTGTTTGTTTTTTTCTATTAAGTTGTATGAATTGTTTATATATTTTGGATATTAACCCCTTACCAGATACATGATTTGCAAATATCTTCTCCCATTCAGTCAGTTTCCTTTGCCTGTGTGGAAACTTTTTAGTTTGATATAGTCCCACTTGTTTATTTTTCCTTGTGTTGCTTTTGCTTTTGGTGCCAAATTCAAAAGAATTGTTGCAAAGATTAATGTCAAGGAGCTTACTTCTATGTTTTCTTCTAGGAGTTTTATGGTTTCAGGTCTTATATTCAAATTTTTAATCAATTTTGAGTTGATTTTTGTTGGGGTGGAAAATAGTGGTCTGGTTTCACTCTAGAATTCTTAATTGACATTCCAAAGAGGAAAAGCAATTACTTGTCACAGGAAATGCTAATATGTGGAGCAATAAAAATGACCAGACTTTGAGGGTATGATAGTTGGGTCTAGCTCCAGATCTACCATTGCCTCACTATGCAGCTATTTAGACATCTGTAGGCATCAGTCTATACCTCTAACATGAGTGTGGAAAGAATTAATTCCCATTTCACATTTTTCTACATGTTTACTTTCAGGGAACAGACCCTAGACTTACATAGTCTACACTTTACCCTACTGTAGCAGAAACTCAGTAGAGTCTGCTAGAATTTTCCAGGACTAGGAAGCTCAATATATTGTGTTCCCCATTATTGGACATCTCTACTTGTTAAGTATTCTTTATCTAGAGGCAACAATCTACTTCCCTGGAAATTTCTACCCGTGTTTCTAGCTCTGCTGTCTGGAGTACTGTAGAAAAAAGATTTTATGTGCCGGATCTTGGACTACTTGAGGATGCCTTACTGCCCCATCCAAAGCCTCTCTTCTTTAGTTATCCATGTTGGCTGTCATCTGGGACTAACTGGTGACCATACTCCAATGACCCTTTGAAGTATACAGTTCTCCTATGCAGCAGCCCTGTGATTAACATATTCTGAGACCCTATTCTTTTTGTGAACAGCATTTATTTAATCTCCCAATCATGTATCTTGAAATCAAGAGACACTTTCTCCATAGGGAAATAATATTTTCGTATAAGTATTTCCTGATGAACACTTGGTGCTTTCTAATGAACACATGTTAACAAACATTGCAGAAATCAAAGTTAATTTGATTCAACTGTATTTCCTTGAATTCTCCTTTCACTCCTGTTTAAAATAAGGCATTTGATCATTTTCACTTTCCAATCTGCCTGCTTTATATTCCACTCTGCATGATTTCAAATATTGGGAGTGAGTCTTCAGTTGTATATTAAGCTAATTCAGCATGCAGGACTTAAAGCTGAAACTATGAAATAACTGGATTTTCTCTCATTATCGTTTCTCTGATAGAGGGTCTGAATTCCCTCTGAAATGATTTTTCCTATTCTGAAGATTATGTAAGAAGGAAGTATAACATAAGACACATGCTTATTTGTTTAAATTTCTTTCATTAATGCCTGTTATCATCCCTAAGAGTGTCCCCTGCCTCCCTTATTAATCACTGCCCCCTGACAGCAAGCACATTATTGACATATCCACCACTCTTGGATCATGAATTGCTTTGCAGAATTGGCGGCAGGAGGATGAAGTTCTGTCTCCACATCTACAGACCAATTCTTTCTTTTCCACCTTCCTCCTGTTATGCCAGAGGGCATATCCCTCTGGAGGTGTTCTGGAGCTCATTATCTTCCACCCACACAAGGGCCTGGTTGAATGAATTCTCCCTTCTGTATTCTAAATACTAAGCCTCTCTCTGTCTTCTGGAGTCTTCCCATTCCCATTTAAACATGACTATCTTTTACATTTCTTCCATCTCATATTCCCTTCCAGCTATAACTCCATTGCCCTCTTCTCTTTACAGCCAGACTTCATATGGGAGCTAATCAGCTCCATACCTTCACCTTCCCCTTTGTCCTCCATCTACTTCCATTTGGATTTCTCAGACCGCATCTCTCGCCCTTACTTTTGCCTTGGCTCCCTATCTGGTGTTCCTATATCCATCTAATTCCTGAAGTTAATTTCCTGCAGTCTAACTATACTTTTCAAAATTCACATCCAATCATTGTACTCCCCAGGTTAAAACCCTTCAGTGCCTTCCTATAGATAGATATTCAGGCAAGGTCTACAGTCATGACCATGACCTGCATCACCTGGCCCCTGCCCGACCATCTAACAGACTTGTGTGTCTCCTCCTTTCTGCTCCCTACTGCCATCATACCCGCATTATTACCTTTACTTCCTTCCATGCTTCATTCTTTCCCCACTTCAGGTCCTTTGCCCTTACTCCCTGCTTGCCCCATTAGGTGCCTGACTCCTGTTCCTTCAGGTCTTAGTCCCAGCTGGGCTCCTCTATTTACTCACACATCACACTTCCCTAGTCGTAAAATTCAAAACACTTTGTTGTTGCCCACTCTGTCCTTTTTTTTTTAGAGCTTTATCGAAATATAATTCACAAACCACACAGTTTACCCATTTAAGGTAAAAAGTGCAGTGGGTTTTCATACAGTCACAGAGCTGTACAGCCATTGCCACAAAATTACAGTACAGTTTTCATAACCACCAAAAAGAAATTCCATGCCCATTAGCAGTCACCTATTTTTGCCCCACCCTTCTAGTTCTAGGCAACCATAAATCTACCTTCTGAAAATATATTGGCATATTGCAGACATTTTCTATTATTGGGCTCATGCGATGTTTGGTCTTTTGTGACTGACTCTTTCACCAAGCATGGCATTTTTAAGGTTCATCCGTGTGGTAGCATGTATCAAGACCTCATTCCTTTTTAGTGCCAAATAATATTTCATTTTGTACATATATTTTATTCATCCATCCATTCATCAGTTGGTGGACACTTAAGTTGTTTTTGCTTTCTGGCTATTGTGATAATCCTGCTCTGAATGTTTGTGTACAAGATTTTGCATGGATGTATAATTTCATTTCATTTGCGTGTATGCCTAGGAGTAGAATTATCGGGTCACGTGGTAACTCTATGTGCAATATTTTGAGGAACCAACAAACTGTTTTCCAAAGCAGCTGTACCATTTTACATCCTCACCAACAGTGAATGAGGGATTCAGTTTTTCTATATCCTTGTCAACACTTATTATTATCTGTTTTTTTTTTCATTATAGCCATTGCAGAGGATGTGAAGTGATAGCTCATCGTGGTTCTGATGTGCAGTTCTGTGATGGCTTATGATGTTAAAAATCTTTTTAGTGTTTATTGGCCATTTGTATATCTTCTTTGGAGAAATTTCTATTCAAATCCTTTGTCCATTTTTAAATTGGGTTATCTTTTTTTGTTACTGGGTTGTGAGAGTTCTTGGTGTATGTGTTCCTTTACAAATCCCTTATCATATATGTGATTTGTAAAACATTTTTCCATCCTGTACATTATCTTAAGCTTCTTGCTTATATCATTTATAGAACATGAGTTTTTAACTTTGATGAAGTCCAATCTGTCTATTTTTCTTTTGGCACTTACACTTTTGCTGTTGTATCTAAGAAATCATTGCCCAACCCCAAGTCATGAATATATATTCCTGTGTTTTTCTCCTAAAATTTTTATAGTTTTGTTCCTAAATTTGGGTCCTTGATTGATCCATTTTGAGATAATTTTTGTATATAGTATGAGGTAGGTGTCCCACTTCATTCTTTTGCCTGTGTATGTCTAGTTGTCCCACCAGATCATTCTTTGCCCCATTTAATTTTCTTGGCACCCTTTCCAAAAATCTATTTATCATAATGTAAGGATTTATTTCTAAACTTTCAATTATATTCCATTAATCTATATGTCTGTCCTTCTGCCAGTGCCACACTGTGTTGATTACAATAACTTTATAGTAAGTTTTGAAGTCAGGATATGTAAATCCTCCAATTTGGTTTCCTTTTTCAAGACTGTCTTGGTGATTCTGGATTCCTTGCTTTTACATATGAATTTTAGAATCACCTTGATAAATTCTGCAGAAAATCTAAAGGCAGCTGAGCTTTGATAACAATCACGTAATTCCATAGATCAAGTTGAGGAGTATTGCCATCTTCATGACATAAAGCTTTCTGATCCCTGAGCATGAGATGTTGCTCCACTTTTTTAGATATACTCTAACTTCTTTCAACAATGTTTTGTTTTCCATGCAGAAGTCCTTTCTTTGTCAAATTTATTCCCAAGTATTGTATTCTTTTTGATGCTATTCAAATAATTTCATTTTCAGATTGTTCATTGATAATGTATAGAAATGGAATTGATTTTTGTATACTGATCTTAAATTCTGCCACCTTGCTGAATTCCTTTATTGTTTCTAATTGTTTAGGGGGGGATTCCTTTGAATTTTATATATACAAAATCATGTCATCACAAATGGAGATAGTTTTATTTCTTCTATTCCATTTGCTTATTTTTCTTATCTAATTATCCTGGCTAGAGCTCCTAGTACAATCCTGAATAGAGGTAGAGAAAGCAACTTGTATCCCTGATCTTGGGAAAATACTCAGTCTTTCACCAATAAGTACGATGTTAGCTATAGGGTTTGTGTAGATACCATTTGTCACGTTGAGGAAATTCCCCTCTATTGGTAGTTAGCTGAGTCAACACACTTTTAATTATGTGCTTAATGTCTGTATTCCCTTCTAGACTCTAAGGCTACATATGTTTTATTTGTAAATAAAACACCTTACCATGTTTAAACAATTTTAACATAGTATTACCTGCATTGTAGCAATGGAGGCACATGCTTTGTTCAAAAGAAATAGATCTGATCAGAGGAGAGGGAGAGGAGTTGTCTGGTTAGGCATATCTTTATCTTAATTTACTAAGTCAGAGGAGAAGAGATGGGTTGGACATGTCTTCCTTTGTTCTCATCCCAACTTCAGTAAATACTGCCTTAAACCCAAGTCTCCTGCTATTTCAGCTATTTCCCTAATTTCTTTCCCACTGGGATTACTGGGGAGTACAGAGTTAACATTTATAATCTTCAATACACCATGACCTATATTCTTTTATAAAGCCTATGATCTGACCTACTATTCCTCTCACCCTTTTGAAATCTGCTTTCCTGAGACCAAGGCACATTTCAATATTAACATAAAAATTACTATCAATATAAAAATCTGCCCAATATTCCCTTACTTTGCTACTATAAACTCAGGCTTCCTTTCTTCCAATATTTCTGTCACCCCCAGAAAGGAGACTTTCACTTTCAGCCAGCATTCAGTCCAGAAGGGAATCCCCTCTCCTGGCTCATTCGGCCTCTGGGCATCAAGCCAGTCACAGGAACAAGCTGAAGGCATATGAGCTGAGGGGGCTTCTCCCCGAGACTGGAGGGGCTGAGGCCCCCTCACCAGTCCATTTGGCTTCCAGGCACTCCTGTAAACGGTGCAAGGAGCTTCTATCTGCCCCAGACTCACCAGGCAAGCCGGGGTGCACTCACATCAAGGACACTTCTGTTTCTCTTGCTCTCATCTCCAACCCATCTCTGCTCCTCTGACTTAGTAAATTAAGATAAAGATATGTGTAACTGGCAACTCCTCCCCCTCTCCTCTCATCAGATCTATTTAGATCTATTTCTTTTGAACAAAGCATGTGCCTCCATTGCCACAATGCAGGCAATATTATGTTAAAATTGTTTAAAATATCAAGTTCATACTCCTAAAAATACTAACATTAGTGCACTGGTATATGTTCCCTGGACATTTGAGGCTGTGTTGATATTAACTGATTTTAGAGTCCAGAGGTTTCAGACCCTGCTGAGAGTTTGTCTAGTTAATATCACCTACATTCATGGGGATCGACTGTCAGTATTATTGTAAAGTGCCTTACAAAGATAACAAAGTTAGTATTTATAATAACTTCCCTCTACGTAGAAATAGTGTCTTGAGGAATGGGCCACCTTCTTCTACTCTGCATGACGCTGAAATACGGGCAGCAGTGGCCCCGATCCTGCTGACTTACCGACAACAGCTTTCCCCAGAGCCAGCCAACTTCTATCCTGATAAATCCATCTCTCCCATCCTGCAGACCGAAGGGATCCTTTTTGAGAGTTGGGAGTCTGGATTTTCCTCTGGTGATGTGAAAACTGCCTACCCACTCAGGCAAATATACACCTGGTGATCACTAGGCACCTTTAGAACCGAGGGTGCGTAGCCTTCCAGGGCTGACTTTTAAAGAGAAATGTACCCAATTAGGAAAATGACATGGACACTCCAAGGACTTAACCATGAAGGAGAGGGAATTGGAATCCAGGAAACAGGAGATCCACCCCCAGATCCTGTGCTCACTCAGGCAGTCCAAGGACGGAGAAAGCTGTGCCGCGGACAAGAGAGCAAGATGAGCAACCTTTGGGAAGAAAGGAACCAACAGTTTTTCTGATCACTTAATCATGGGAAAATCATGTTCAGAGGCTTTTGAAATTCTGCCGGAGAGTTCCAGGAGAATTATTAGGATAATGGCATAGACTAAGCAGATTTTTTAAATGAGGTAATTATTAACTCCTGGATGAACAAAGAATTATAGAAGAAAGGAACTGTGGTCCTGGAATATCTCTTCACTTAGTAGAGAACAGTACATACATAGTCATAATAAAATAAAAATTGAATATTGATTTAACAAAATATGGGACATAAATATGTTGGAGAATGGAGGGAAGTTGCTTAGGCATCCCCCAGCCCCCCTGTCTTCCATCCTAAGAGGTCAATAGGCATTTCACCCTGACAGATCAAGGGGTCAACCTACAAGCATATTATTTAGAAATGTGGAGCTGAGCTTCAGAAGATTTGGGGGAGAGGGGACTTGAAAATAGAAATGGGACAGGGGACTGCTATTTTCCCTCTGTGCATGTTGAATTTTTAAATTATGTACATTGGGATGGATTTTTATGAAAAGTAAGCAGAGTAGCACAGGGTCTGAGAGAAAAGAGTTAAAACTCGAGAAGAGGATGGAGACAGAGAAGACAGCCAAGGCCGCTGCTTTACCATGTGGGCAGGAAAGTTGGCTGATTACAACTATAGAAAAAATGTCTATGCAAGATGTCACTTCAGCCCAAGAGATGTGCTCTTGAGAACAGCCGCTCCTCTTTAGGAGCTGGCAGACAGGGGCCCCGCTGGGTCTGAGGACAGGGCTGTTGCAGCTGTCCCTGATCTCGGTCCTTCCTGCCTGCCCAGGAGGCCAGGGGAACGTCTCCCAACCTCCCCTCCACTCTGCCGTAGGCACTCAGGGGCTAAGTGGGCTGTGGCTGGGACTCAGGGCCAAGTAGGTGGTAGTGTGCAGCAGACAAGTGTGAGGAATGGAGTGAGACAGTGCCACCAATGGGGAGCCATGGGCGTGCCTCCTCCCTCTGCCGTCTGGGGGGCTGGGAGCTACATCAGTGGGAATGCAGTCAGGTCTCTGTGGGCACTCAAAGAAAAGAAAAGCTACTTTCCTCTCCCCGGGCCTTCTGTGTTGGAGCATCTGTGTCTTTGTCTAGGACAATTCCCACTGATCACTCCAGAGTCTGACTCCCATTCCAGGGAGCTGTGCTGCCCCGTGGTTGTGATCCATCAAAACCTGCCCTGCCTCCTGAAATGCAGTCAGAGCCACCTTGGAGGAGCCTGGCCTGGGGCCTCCGCTGGGTCAGGCTCCTGTAAGCGCAGTCACAGAGCAGGCCATCTGAGCACGTCGGGTCACCAGCCTGAAATCCTTTGGAGAATGGAGCAGAAGGTGTCCCCTGTGGGAAAGAAGGCGGGTAGCTGCATCTTGGTGCCCTCCCACCAGTCCAGTCCATTTCTTGGTAAAAGCCAAAATGAGCCAGTCTGTGCACCCCCAGGGTGCTGTGGGTATCACAGGAGCAGTCCCCTGGGTGTTTGCAGAATAATCATGCCCTCCAGTGTCTGAATTCTGATTGTGTCACAGCCAAATGACAAAATAAATCATGGTTCCCATAAAGATCTTGGACTCTGTGGCAAGTAGGATCTTAGTTCTGGATGAAAAATGCATTTGGGGAAGAGAAAATTCAGCCAGCAAAGCATGTCCCTCTCTCCTCCCTTATCCATAAAGTGGATCTCCAAGAGACTGTGGCCCACTAGGGTGTAGCAGACATTCCAGAGAATGACCAAGCCAGACCCCACTCTGGAGAATTTGAGATTTGAGGACTCATTCCTGGAAATATCTTCCTGGTTGAGATGCAGATACGTGTCAAGAGGACAGGAGGGTGGCAACCTTCCTGAGTGTGACCTTTCTGAGCAGACACCCTCAGAAGGCAGACGGCATGGACAGGGGAACACCATTGTGCAAACGCCCACACTCAGGAACACGGTCAGCCTTTGGAAGTGAACACATCCTGGTACAAGGAACAAATACACAGCCAACCAACCTGCGTGCCACAGGGACTGTTGCAAAGTGTTCACGATCCTCTCAGTGGTATAGCAGAGGCAGAGGTTGGGCCAGGTCATTTTGCCTCCTGGCTCTGTGCTTGGTTAACCAGGATAGATGGCTGTAGTTATCAACATGGTCTTGGAGGCAGGCAGAGCTAGTGCCTGAAGACCCTGGGTCCTGGGCTGCCAGACTGCCCTCTTACATAAAGCATTTTGCACACAAAACACTGGCACCAACAGGTCAACATAAATTGTTAATAAAGGGAAAGGCCAGAAGAAGAATGTGCCACCTCCAGCAGGACTCAGAGATGATCTGCAGCTGAATGTCCAGATGGAAAGGCCAACACACGTGCACCCTTTGCTGCCCCAACCACATGTCACCCAGGCTCCTTCTGAGCCTGCCTGGGTCCTGGAAGACAAGAAGGACAGTTTTGCAAGCCTGGGGTTAGCATCGAGCAGCCCTGGGGTGGCTGTGCCCTGTGCACCACCTGGACTGGCGTCCACAGGATGTAGAGTAGGTTCCTTCCCCACAGGGCTTTGCTCAGGAACCAGTCTTTAATTTTCTCTTTAAATGAACAGGATATAATGGGTAAGGTTATCAGTAACTGAAATGCTGACTCTCGCAGCCACACCACAGCCAGAGGGCCCAGGGAGGCAGCATGGGGCCTGACAGAGGGGATTCCCGGCTTGGAGACCAAGTCTCTGTGCCCCCACAGGAGGGAAGGGCCTTGATCCTCAGCCCTGGGACATGACAGACCAGCCAGCTTGTCCCTAGGCTGTACCTTCTCAGGCCTCCCCACCTCCTTAAGCCAGGGAGCAAGGCCTCCAAAGCAGGGCCAAAGAGTTCATATCCGTGGGTCCTGGAGCAGGTTGTGTTATCTCCAGAAGATGAGACGGTGGGCAAGGAGCACAAAGAAGGTCCCCTCTAACCCCAGGGTCACCACTAGCTTTCAGAGAACCAAGAAGCTCCTGTCGCCACCTGAACTGGACACCATGGGGAGCTGCCAGAGATGCCCACGGTTGCCGTAGCCTGGTACAGGTGTTCTTCAGACAAAACCTCACACCTGCCAAAGGCCATATCTGCCCACCCGGCTGGAGGCAGAATAAAAAGGTTTCTGCCTCTCTTCTGCCTTCCAAATATCACAAATGTGCATCTCACTGGTAGGACTTGAAGTGTATCTGGAGCTCTCCTGCCAAGGTAGTTTTCAGGCTTCTAGCCTCTGCCAGAAAGGAGAGAACAGGGGAGGGGTGTAAAGGTGTCAGGTACCAGTAGACAAGAGTGCACAGAAAAGAGAAAACTGGAAGAAAAGAGGGAGAGATAAGCAGGTGGAAGTGGAGAGCTGGGGAAGAAAGACAATTCAGACAGAGGGGCAGGCAAATGCTCAGCGGCCAGCAATGCACACAAACAGGAGAGACAGGACAAGGCAGAGATTGGGAGACAGAAACAGCGAGAAGGTGGGGCCCGTGGGCATGGATGGTAGCACTGGCCGTAGAGCCCCATCACTTGGAATTATTGCCGGTGGAAATGCTGACTTGCCCAACACTGGTCAGGAGTGTGGCTGTGACTCCCAAACTTCCCTGTGCATAAAAATCACCTGAACAACCTTTCTAAAAAGCTTCAGAGAGTCTGATCCCGAAAGTCAGGGGCTTGGCCTGGAATCTGCTTTCTTTGTAAGCTCCCCAAGTGATGCCTATGATCCTTGGGGATACTGGAGGAATCGCTGCTTTTGCAGTTCCACTGAGGGGTGGAAATGCTCCAGACTGCAGCCATCAGGGCAGCGATGAATTCAAGCTTAAGGCCCGCTCTGCTCAGAAACCTCCCACCATCCCCACCCTCAGCTTCACTCTGCTCCCGGGAGTATCTCCAAGATCTCCTCCCACCCCCGCCCAGTTCACTTCTCCCCTTCCTTCCAGCTCCCAGACCACTGATGTTCTAGTTGATGTTTCCCTCCCAACAAGCTAATTAAGCAATAATCCTAGAAGAATCCATCACTCTGACAAGGTTGTTGATTAACCATCCCCAGCCAAGCCAAAAGTGCTTGATATCCCAGCAGAATGCTCAATAATGAGTACAGCAGCAGCACGGGCTGCAGCAAACGGGTGACGGCGGGACCTGAGAAGACAGAGGCCGATGGGTAATTATGCCTGACTTTGCAGAAGCCAGAGGGCCGTGGAGAGGAATGGGGGCTGGCTGGAGGCTACACAGGCTAGGGTGTCTCTAACCAGATTCCAGACCATTCTTTCTGGACCTTCAAATGCCGCCAGAGTGGTTCTAAGATTATTAACAACTCTTGACTGCTGGAGAAGGGCCATGTGAAAGGGGACTGCGCACAAAGAAGTAACTCCCCAACTTCACAACGGTGTTAACTGTATAGCTACTGGAGCAAGAGGAGAGACAGGCAAAACAATAAAATTGCTGTTGGGAGATCATTTCAAGTGCAGATGGATATACCTTTCTCTTTTCCACACTTAAACTTATTTCAAACACCCCTCTGTTCCCTTAAAATACTTACTTTCTTGAGTGCTGGTGATAGTCTCTGACCACGCAGGACGTGATAAAACACTGCCCCCTGATGGTCACAGTTATTGAAGCTTCAAACCTCCTGCTTCCAAGGTTCCTTCCCACTCAGGTGCCTGGTGTGGGCCCTGGCACGTGGGCCTGCAGCTAGCCTGGTCACAGCGTGCACTGTCTGAGCAGCCGCCTCAGCAGAACTGCCCAGTCAGCTCTCAGATTCCATCTTTGTCTGAATCCTGGTCTTGCTTCCACCATTTTTGTTTTTGTTTTTATTTTTATTTTTTGGCACAAAGAATGGATGACATTGACAAATATTCGGGACCAAGGGGAAAGAAACTGACCCCCAGCTGGGCTACCCTGATTTGGTCACTGACATGCCATGTCCATGTCATCTTCCAGTTCTGCTCAGCCACAAAGAAAATAGCATTAGTAAGTGCTCAGCAAATATTCAGAGAATGAGTGACTGAACTGTAGGCAAGGGTAAAGACAGGGCATGGGGAGTGGCCCCCGCACTGGGCCAGGACTCTGCAGTCTAAGGTTCAAGTCCTGTTTCTGCCTCCAGGCAGCTGTGTGTGCTTTGGGGAATGGCCTTCTCTTTCCGGGCTTCCTTCTCCCTAAAATGGTCTATAAAGATCTCCAAGGTGCCTTCGCAAACTTAGGGGCTCAGGTCCTAAGGTTTCTAATCAGCAATCATCAATAAGGGGCAGCAGTTAGCCAGGAAGAAAGCTTCAACAACAGCTCTTGCTGGGACCCACCTTCTGGGAAATCAGCAGCAC